CATCTTTTATCACAAAATTTGTGTTCGATGCCACTGTCATGTGGCTACATACCATTGTTTTTCAAGGATGAGGTGTGGCTACGACAATACAACTATTAGAAAATACAAAAAAAATTTTTTTGATATATATGCAAATCTGACAGTTATCCAGGTCTAACTTGATTGTATGTAGGTCTAAACTTCAGCTTCAGATTGATACCCATGAAACACTGAAACACTCTGACTCTTAAGTTTGGTCCTCTGTATGATCATCTTGTATGATAAGACCTGGTATATAAAATCTGAAATCGAAAAGAAGCAAACAATCTGGGGTATACAGAAAAGTCTGGCCATAAAAAATTGAAGTTGTAAATGACTAGCCAGTTTGTAAAGTAACACTGTTGTACACTGTTGGCTTTTTGAACTTATAAATGACAGAATTGCTGTTGCATTTTACTTTTTGTATCACTATGATGCATCGGCTACTGTTTAAAGTTTAGGACTACCTTTTCCATTGCCCAGTTAGCATTAGTGTGACAGCGTGGTTACTAAAAATAGCCCATCCATGCTCCCTAAGAGGTGTTTTTAAAAGTAGACAAACCAGATGTTGTCATTCCATTAATATTGTATTTTAATGACAGAAAACTGAAGCAAGATTTAGTTCTATAATGTATTAAGATTCTTGATCTTATAAATCCCTGGAAAATCTCAGTCATATGTCTACTTTGAGTCACACAATAAGACATTAACAGTATCAAGTTATCCAACCTGTCCATGCCTGAACTTAATCGTGTGTCAAACAAGCAAACTGTGAAATACTTAGTTATTCCGCAAGTATGGGTTTTAGACCCCATTCAGATGGACACATTGTACTAGTTGGTTGCTCTAACTCTGTGCTATGAATGCTTCCTTAACCACAAGTTACATGACATGGGCTACCAAGTAAAAACAATACAAATACTACATACACATTTGCCATATTGTGATGGCTAAAAAACATCAACAATCCTGTGTTATTAAGGGTGTAAACCACACAACTCGAACCCTAGTCAGAGCTATTTTTCATACATGAATACATTTCATGCTGCTTAAATTAATGGTCATATGAAGTTATCTACCATACAAAATTGTACCTGGAAAGGTGAAGTCTGTCCTTAAAAGGGCAAAGTGATCACTTTTGTGTTTACCATACCTATTTTATTTTTATTTATTTACTTTGTCATCATACACCATACATTCAGTTCCAAACTCAAACCCTTCAAATATTCTAGCATCTCTTTATTGAAAAACACAGTGACTCTAAACAAATTAGCGATTTAATATACATGTGCTGAAAAGATTTTTTTCAGTTTCTGATCACCTTAAAGCACTGTTCACCAAGGACATCCCTATCATTAATAGTCAATTAGTAACAAAAGTGTCCTTAAACCTCAGTTTCCTATCATTCCATAATGTCACAGTCCATACTGCATGTTCTACATGTGTTATTTACACACTATTAAATGATTTATAAGAGAATTTGTCAAGTTATGGTGACTGGCTGTATTTCTTATGCATTCAATACAGGCATATGTCCAAATGTGCTTGTTGTCATCAACTCCTGGCCAAGATCCAGGAGCTCTTCCAATTCTGCAGCCAATGAAGAAATAGGATTTCCATCTTCATCAACAGTCTATTTGGCTCCAAATTCTGGTACATAGACAAAATGTGTTAACTTTTCTTTGGGACTTTGATTATGGGCAAAAAAGGGGTGCAAGGGTACATGCCAAACATTGCTGTAAGTTACGACTATAATATATCATGCAAGTATCGTATCAATAATAGTTTTAGAGAAGGGAAAGACAGTGTTTCAAGGCATGTGGTTATTAGTAAGTAGAAATGAATATGTTTAAAAGAAAACAGCATGGTACAGTGCCAAGGACACATTTTCTGCCATTGATAAAATAATTGTCAAACAGGGGAGACTATGAAAATGTTTAAACGGAAGTCTTGCATCCCTAGCCCATTCACATCTTACTGTCTTAGTGTCATAAACTACGTCATGAAATATTGTTCTATAATCAAAACAGTTTATTACACATACGGGATAAGTGGCTGGTCTTTCTTAATATTGACTTTGTTGATCATAAAAATTGGTCAATGAAAAATTATATANATCGGCATCGGCATCGCCATCGGCGACGGCGACGACAGACGCAGGTGATGGCAATATGTACAGACACATCTGTGTCTGTACATAAAAATAAATGTGCTAAATAACTTATTTAAGATTGATCAATAGACTAACACCAGATATACACCAGCACCCACGGTGTCAAAGTAGGTCACTTGCTCGATTGGGCAACTAGCAGGCAGTCAACAAAAATCAAATTTCAAAAAACTAAAATGATCAGGTTGAGCATATCTTTTATCACAAAATTTGTGTTCGATACCACTGTCATGTGCCTACATACCATTGTTTTTCAAGGATGAGGTGTGGCTACGACTATACAACTATTAGAAAATACAAATTTTTTTTGACATATATGCAAATCTGACAGTTATCCAGGTCTTACTTGATTGTATGTAGGTCTAAACTTCAGCTTCAGATTGATACCCATGAAACACTGAAACACTCTCGACTCTTAAGTTTGGGCCTCTGCATGATCATCTAGTATGATAAGACCTGATATATAAAATCTGAAATCGAAAAGAAGCAAACAATCTGGGGTATACAGAAAAGTCTGGCCATAAAAAATTAAAGTTGTAAATGACTAGCCAGTTTGTATCGTATCACTGTTGTACACTGTTGGCATGTTGTTTATTGGACTTTGTGTTAATGCCAAAAATTTTGAACTTATAATTGACAGAATTGCTGTTGCATTTTACTTTTTGTATCACTATGATGCACCGGCTACTGTTTAAAGTTTAGGACTACCTTTTCCATTGCCCAGTTAGCATTAGTGTGACAGCGTGGTTACTAAAAATAGCCCATCCATGCTCCCTAAGAGGTGTTTTTAAAAGTAGACAAACCAGATGTTGTCATTCCATTAATATTGTATTTTAATGACAGAAAATTGAAGCAAGATTTAGTTCTATAATGTATTAAGATTCTTGATCTTATAAATCCCTGGAAAATCTCAGTCATATGTCTACTTTGAGTCACACAATAAGACATTAACAGTATCAAGTTATCCAACCTGTCCATGCCTGAACTTAATCGTGTGTCAAACAAGCAAACTGTGAAATACTTAGTTATTCCGCAAGTATGGGTTTTAGACCCCATTCAGATGGACACATTGTACTAGTTGGTTGCTCTAACTCTGTGCTATGAATGCTTCCTTAACCACAAGTTACATGACATGGGCTACCAAGTAAAAACAATACAAATACTACATACACATTTGCCATATTGTGATGGCTAAAAAACATCAACAATCCTGTGTTATTAAGGGTGTAAACCACACAACTCAAACCCTAGTCAGAGCTATTTTTCATACATGAATACATTTCATGCTGCTTAATTAATGGTCATATGAAGTTATCTACCATACAAAATTGTACCTGGAAAGGTGAAGTCTGTCCTTAAAAGGGCAAAGTGATCACTTTTGTGTTTACCATACCTATTTTATTTTTATTTATTTACTTTGTCATCATACACCATACATTCAGTTCCAAACTCAAACCCTTCAAATATTCTAGCATCTCTTTATTGAAAAACACAGTGACTCTAAACAAATTAGCGATTTAATATACATGTGCTGAAAAGATTTTTTTCAGTTTCTGATCACCTTAAAGCACTGTTCACCAAGGACATCCCTATCATTAATAGTCAATTAGTAACAAAAGTGTCCTTAAACCTCAGTTTCCTATCATTCCATAATGTCACAGTCCATACTACATGTTCCACTATGTGTTATTTACACACTATTAAATGATTTATAAGAGAATTTGTCAAGTTATGGTGACTGGATGTATTTCTTATGCATTCAATACAGGCATATGTCCAAATGTGCTTGTTGTCATCAACTCCTGGCCAAGATCCAGGAGCTCTTCCAATTCTGCAGCCAATGAAGAAATAGGATTTCCATCTTCATCAACAGTCTATTTGGCTCCAAATTCTGGTACATAGACAAAATGTGTTAACTTTTCTTTGGGACTTTGATTATGGGCAAAAAAGGGGTGCAAGGGTACATGCCAAACATTGCTGTAAGTTAGGACTATAATATATCATGCAAGTATCGTATCAATAATAGTTTCAGAGAAGGGAAAGATAGTGTTTCAAGGCATGTGGTTACTAGTAAGTAGAAATGAATATGTTTAAAAGAAAACAGCATGGTACAGTACCAAGGACTCATTACCATATTTTCTGCCATTGATAAAATAATTGTCAAACAGGGGAGACTATGAAAATGTTTAAACGGAAGTCTAGCATCCCAAGCCCATTCACATCTAACTGTCATAAACTACGTCATGAAATATTGTTCTATAATCAAAACAGTTTATTACACATACGGGATAAGTGGCTGGTCTTTCTTAATATTGACCTTGTTGATCATAAAAATTGGTCAATGAAAAATTAAAATCCTCTTGCCCTTATTCCATTGATGAATATAGCATTTTATGTAAATATAGCAACCCATTGGAAGGGAAGTTTATCACCACAAATATTCATATACTATTTTTTAATTCTTATCTGGGTAATTGACATGGGTATTAAGCATATAATTCAACTGAGGGAAGCCAGTGGCCAATGAAGTCATCAAGGAAGATTTATTATAGCTGAAACTGTATTGAAGTGGACCAGATGACGTTGGTGTTATTACTCTGATATCAAAGTGCACCAAATCTACATTTCTATTTTCCTACTTGATCCTATGATGCTGCTACACCACTAAAATATCATTCTACAATGTGTGGGTACTTCACTGCTTGGTTAGTTACTACCTTACTCGACAACATTGCCTCTTGTTGCTTTTGTTTACTTTTCACGGCCGATGTAAACAAAACCCTTGTCAGTCTCTACGACGGTCGATACTCACCCAATTTTTGATTGAAGATTTTGTCGAAGGTGACCTCACCCATTTTCTCCAGATGTTTGTGCATGACGCTCCGTACACTAAAATACAGAAAACAATCCTAAATGCTTACGATCACCATTTTGAATATTTTTTGCAAATGAATTATCGTCTATCGAGGGGCTTCCCAGCATTATAGGCTGCGGTACATGTTATCCGTCCAAAACACAGCAAACCAAAGTTGGAAATAAAACTCACCTTGGATCTGGAAGTATGATCTTTTTGCTGGCCCTGGCTGCTGGAGTCGATTTACTCTTCTCCATAGCCATTAAATAGCTCACATCAGCGAGCACCGCTTCAAGATCCGCCATCTTGCCTATCTTCTTCACTAGGGTGGCTATTCCAATAGCTGCTTTTGAACCCCGTTAAACCCTAGAAACGGCACTCGCTGTAATGAATATACCCTAGCTCCTTCTTTTTCACAAAGGCGATACTGATTATCTTCAAATTAAATCCCCATTCCAAATTCTAATGAAAGAGAGAATCGTCGTTCCAGTAAACTACGAACTACTAGATAGGCCTATATCCCTTGCATCCCAGTAACGCCGCAACTACAGTGAGAACCAAGGAAGAAGTAACCTGTTGACGTCACGCAGCCAGGTATAACTGAGCCGTAGCGGTCAATATAAGCTGATGTGCGGGGGATTGGGACTGGCATTTTCAAAGAAAATGTGCAGTGCTCCTATAATTGATGGTATCTGTTTCAGGACTGTCTTTTGTCGATCATATCAATATGGTTTTAAATAGGACGATGGTTATATTTTAGCTCATGTTCCGAAAGCATATCGCACCACAAATTACCAGTAGCAATAATGTGATAAGTAATTAAGTTATTGTCAATCAACGTTGTACTTTTATGAAATATTGGTCGAAAAGGTATGTACTTTTGAAAGCGCAATAAAATGTCACTTCAATACAAGCAGCCTTACTTTTAAAAGGGGGATGGGGAAATCTTAGGTTCCAGGCAAAAGGAGCTGGCAACTGTTTGAAGACTTCTTTTATGCGGATTTTTACTTTCATTACTAAAGGAAAGTGAAGTACAAGCATACTTCCGTGTATTGCTCTTTTATCTATTATTACTTTTTCTTTAACAGGGATGGATCCAGAATTATTTGAAAGGGGAAGGGGTCCGTGAATGTGAAACCGAGCCGTGGGGTTATGGGGCCAGTGAAGGGCCCCAAAAATTTTGGTATTTTAGAGGACGAACTGTGCCATTTGGTACGGTTTAGAACTATGATTCAGCTAATCAAAATTCTCATTTCAAGAGGTAAAATTGCTGTGAATTTTTCAGAAATTGAAGGGAGGGGGTCAGGACCCACCTAAATCAGCCAGTTTAATGTATATGTGTGTCACTGTGTATGATAGATTTATAAAAATTAAATTGTAGTTGCTGGTGATCGTAAAAAACAATATTTGCAATGTGGTGAAAAATAGAATTCATTCTTTTAAAAATTGTCATGAAAAATAGAGAGACTCTAAAGCCTTTCCTCTGTTTGTGTTACATTTGATACCTTGCGTCTAAAACTGATGCACATTCATTACTATCAAGTGCAAAATTTTTTTTCATTTTTGTACTGAAAATTTGTTCACTTTCATTTGTTCACTGTTAAAAAATAAACAATCCATGTTTGCACTCAGTCTATGTATTTTAACAGGACATCTGCTACCAAAAGTGTTACTTTTTACTTCCAGCTGAAAACCCCAAATATATACAAACCCACTTGGGTTTCAAGTATAGAAGTGTCTGTGCTTCCATTGTTTAATATTTATATTTTTTCTTTTCAAAATATTTTTTTTCAGCAAGATGCCTCCAGATATAAAATAGTACTAGCATTATTCAAAAAGTGTCACACTGAGGGCAATCATTTTTTGCATTGTGTGATTTATTTTCAGTATTTTTTAATAAGTCAAATTAAAATAGGTGTTGCAGAAATTGAACATTTTGTGAATGATAGGCAAGTGAAATAATTCATTCCAAACTACGCCACAGTGAGCCATCACTTTCACTGGCTATACACTTCTGCTCCATCAGTACAGATTACAGCAAGCCCTCTTGGGAATATGTATGCACACAAGATAATCTTTAAATCAATAAAAGGCTTAAAAAATTTACAGTTTAATGGTATAAAATTTAATCTATGATGCCAGAGCAAAAAAATGCTGTACCAAAACCCAAATATGGCAAATTAGCCATAAAACACCCATATCACATTGTTATAAATCAATCCATTTATTTCCCAAGTGAAAGTCTTCTTTGTAGGTAAAATTATGTCAGAAGAGGCTCATTTCTTTAAACCTGTAGAAATTGATGGGGTTCTTTCTTTCAACATAAGTTCAGCAGCCACCTATCATAATAACATGAAAAATAAAATAAGAATTCTGGAAACAAAAGAATTATTTAATATTGGTGATATTATAAAAAGGTATGTTTCTGTTTTAAGGACATGGTATTTACTGCAATAACACCTAGGTCTACTGACAAACCTTTTTATATCACCTTATGTTAAGAACTGGTGGTCAAGACAATTGACAAAAACATGAAGAACAAAGGATACACCTTGTAGAATAGTGCCCAAAAGAACAGTATAAATGACATACTAGTACCTCGTTATATTGTTGTTCATTGCAACTGCTGAAACCAAATTATATAAAGTATATTTACTGGTGTGAAAAAGAATATGGGTTAATGGATCTATATTTGTTCAATTATTTTCTATTCCATTAGCATGCAAATCAAACTGAAACTAGAGTAATATCCATGGAAGTCACCAGACAAAAAATGTAAAATTATATATTTTATACAGTAAACCTTTATAAAAGAATCTTTAAAAATAAAATAGCTGCAAAATGAATTAGAAAAGAGAAAAAAGGAAACTTCCATTCACTAAATTGAAAATTGAGATCTGTTTAAGTTATCCTAATGTTGCATGATAAATCAGATGGCTGGCTATGCAATCTAAATGCATTCACTGGCAAGCATAGCATCAACTGACTTAACAGCAAATGACTCATCCATTTCATTAGCAAGGTGATTGCTGCACTTTTCTATGCAACTTAATGCAGATTACTCTTTGGAAGATAAATTGGAAGCAATGCCTCTGTCACAGGCTCTTATAACCTGTGTCATATAAACTATTTAAGCTATGGATTTACACTGGGCTATTAGGCTATTACTGAATGAAGGTTTCCAAATTTGATTCAGAGAATGACCCGAGTCTTGGACTTTTGCTAAAAAAAGTACTGTTCTGACCCCCCCCCCCCCCCCACATTGTATCCCAGTAATTTTCAATTAAGTGCTGTAACAAATTGCGAATCATCTGAGGAATATCCATTTTGACAATGCAGTAGAGAAGACCATGTAAAAGGGAAGAATGTCGACACATTGTTTTACCAATTTGGGAGTTTTTCATCATTGTTTACTTTTTAATCTATTTATTTTGGTAAACACAAATTTATTAAAATACAATATTGTTGGACTGACTTGATTTGGTCTTCTAAACAAAGATTTTTTCATTGCCATTACTTAAGTTTTTACAATATAAACAGTTTGAAATGAAGTTATACTTAGAAATTTATCACTTTACCACAAATGTTTACTTTCAAAGATTTATTCCTCATAAACATAAACAAACACCAAAAGACAAATGATATTTTCAAAGTTCAATATCCAATTTCAAAAACCACTTTATAACAAAGAATAGTTTTATTCCAATTTCTAAAACAGATTCCACCCAACTCAAATTAAGTATCTTGCTATCAAGACTAGGTATAGATTCTATAGCTACAAACTTGAAACACCTGTTACCCCTATCTTAAATCACAATATATGTACTGTTCATATAATATAATCTACCTCTTAAAACTGGTACCGAGACAATAACCCAACAGTTCCAATACATAATGAAAAAAATCCAAATCTCAAAGCACATTGACACTAACAAGAGAAATATGGGCTACATACATGTACATCTACACAACAAATAATAACAGCAAGAGTAACTTGCAGATAAAGGGGAAATGGTAGCACACAAAGGTAACTTTAAGATCAATAATCTAAAAATCTTAAAGAAGTGGTCCAATGTATGAATATTTAGCAGTGCTTTTTTACCATCTTATGATAGATAAAATAAAAATTTCCAAAGTAAATACAAATAAAAAAAACACTATATCCTCAACCCTTCCACTGAATATCACAGATCCAAATTGGAGTATATTATTAAAGTCTTCCAATAACATAAAAGCAGCACCTCCAGAAGAAATTTGTGATTCACATAACAATTGCAATTTTAAGACACTTTTAACTAACATCTTGACGTAACTAATATATGATCAACTGAAACTTTAGTCCATCCTAATATCAATTAACCTCAAAATATCTTTTATCTTTAACTAAAACATGCAGATAATGCACAGAACATTTGGTATTTTTTATGCAAAAAATAAATATATATAACCTTTGGTTAAGGCAATGATTGTGCTCACTCTTACCATCTATATATGCATGCATATTAAGTGACCTGACATTTTGTCTACTTCAATTTGGCTGTCATGCATATATTCTTATGATGATGGGCCCAAGATGTAAATAAAAATCCGATTTTACATATCACCAAAATGTTTCCATAGAATGACTATATGAAAATTAAACATTGATACCTTAACAGATAATTAGAATTCAAAGTGTCAGGGTTTTTGTGAACAAGTACAAATGAAATCATTGTACACTTGTGAATCACAAGTATATCCAGCAAGGAAGACACACCCATATATAGAAGCACGATCCATTTAGCAAATGGAAACTTCAGTAAATGTTCTTTTGGTATAGAAATATGAATAAATATACCCTTTGAAACTTGACCACTGCATATTTACATACTGTGCTGTGCTTATGTTATAAATGGAAACCATACAATCCCTCACCACATTCTATTATAAATATATTTCAGGCAAGAAAAAGTAAAATGATCAACCAATAAAAAAAGACTACTGAAACCAGCAAACAAAAAATAAAATATTATGGAAATTATAACCCTAAGTTCATCTTCTTTTCTACAAACCACAGTTTCCAGCAGGTTCATGTATTGCACATGAAGAACACACAAATAATATTTCATAGGACAACCCACAAAAGTAGGAAACAACTATGGTACACAGGTACAACCTGAACTTGACCCTCCCACGACCTGACTGAGTATACACATTCATTTACTTACATATTTATTTCTTCTTATTTGAAAAATATATGAAAAAAAACACACAGTAACACTTATTGCACATTTTCTGTAGGGAACATGTGCAGCAAAGAAAACTGACAAGATGACAGATCACAAGTAATTTCTTCCAAATGTTAACAAGGGATCTTCATGGAACAAGGAGGTGAATATACAATTTGTAAGTATGTACTGAACTCTTCTCATCTCACTGGTCTGATTTGACACTGTCTGAAGACACTGACACTGGGGTGCGGCACATCTGACGCAGTTCTTCTGCTTGAGCTTCCACTTCTCTGCAGAAAATAAATATAATACAGATATAGACAAAAGTTCAAATGAACTGGTTGTAAAATAAACACACACTAAGTCTCAGATAATTGCTGACTTACTTCCATGATTTTGATGTATTCTGCACTTGAGCAGTATGGACATCCAGCTGTTTCTGCAAGACAGTCATCTCAGAGCGTAGGGACGCCAGGCAGGTCTGTATGTTCTCCAGGGGTCTGAATTGATGAAATGTTCATTTTTTTCTGAATCATATTAATGATCATAATCTCTCTCTCTATCTCTCTTCACAAACACAGGCCCATGCACACACTGGATTATTAAAAAATTCTATCAAACTAAAATCAATCAAAACAATTTATCAATTTTTTCATGAATATGTTATTATGTTACATTCTACTTCCCAAGTTCAAAGAAGAAAGAAATCAATATAATCAGTAAAAAGTACCTGGATTTGGCAATTGGGGCACTCTGATTCAGCAATTGTTCTATAGCAGCAATATCATAGTCTGTTGGCAATGAAAATGATGCCATGGTTCCAGTGACAGCATCTTCTGTGTTTTGAGATTTGAGAATCTTAAGAAATGAAAAATCTATTTATTTATTTATTATAACTCAAATCTGAACATTTTAAGGTAAAAACTTAAAATTACAAAGAGAGGATATTGTTTACAAAATATAGCAAAGTTATGAATTAAAGACAGTCTCAGTGGGTTAGATTAATGTATAGAAGCAGGTTCTATGTAAAACTTTGGTCAGATTTGTGTTTTGTGAGATTGTTTATTATTATATTAATAAGTCTGGGTCACAAAAGTTCTGTTTAGACAACTAGAATAAAAAATTAGAAAACGAAAACTATTTATCATGATTTCGGAGCACAGCCGGAAGTACCTCCGGCTCAAGGTCACGACCTCGATTTTCCCACGCTTACGACCAATCACAGCAGGCTTCAGTCAGAATGAGATAGACGTCACGACTACAGAGCGAAACTTGTCAGACATGTAAATGCCGCCTGTCCACCTTTTCGGTACATGTACCGATCAAAAACAGAAAACGTAAAGCCCAAAACTCAATATATNAAATTATAACCCTAAGTTCATCTTCTTTTCTACAAACCACAGTTTCCAGCAGGTCCATGTATTGCACATGAAGAACACACAAATAATATTTCATAGGACAACCCACAAAAGTAGGAAACAACTATGGTACACAGGTACAACCTGAACTTGACCCTCCCACGACCTGACTGAGTATACACATTCATTTACTTACATATTTATTTCTTCTTATTTGAAAAATATATGAAAAAAAACACACAGTAACACTTATTGCACATTTTCTGTAGGGAACATGTGCAGCAAAGAAAACTGACAAGATGACAGATCACAAGTAATTTCTTCCAAATGTTAACAAGGGATCTTCATGGAACAAGGAGGTGAATATACAATTTGTAAGTATGTACTGAACTCTTCTCATCTCACTGGTCTGATTTGACACTGTCTGAAGACACTGACACTGGGGTGCGGCACATCTGACGCAGTTCTTCTGCTTGAGCTTCCACTTCTCTGCAGAAAATAAATATAATACAGATATAGACAAAAGTTCAAATGAACTAGTTGTAAAATAAACACACACTAAGTCTCAGATAATTGCTGACTTACTTCCATGATTTCGATGTATTCTGCACTTGAGCAGTATGGACATCCAGCTGTTTCTGCAAGACAGTCATCTCAGAGCGTAGGGACGCCAGGCAGGTCTGTATGTTCTCCAGGGGTCTGAATTGATGAAATGTTCATTTTTTTCTGAATCATATTAATGATCATAATCTCTATCTCTATCTCTCTTCACACACACAGGCCCATGCACACACTGGATTATTAAAAAATTCTATCAAACTAAAATCAATCAAAACAATTTATCAATTTTTTCATGAATATGTTATTATGTTACATTCTACTTCCCAAGTTCAAAGAAGAAAGAAATCAATATAATCAGTAAAAAGTACCTGGATTTGGCAATTGGGGCACTCTGATTCAGCAATTGTTCTATAGCAGCAATATCATAGTCTGTTGGCAATGAAAATGATGCCATGGTTCCAGTGACAGCATCTTCTGTGTTTTGAGATTTGAGAATCTTAAGAAATGAAAAATCTATTTATTTATTTATTATAACTCAAATCTGAACATTTTAAGGTAAAAACTTAAAATTACAAAGAGAGGATATTGTTTACAAAATATAGCAAAGTTATGAATTAAAGACAGTCTCAGTGGGTTAGATTAATGTATAGAAGCAGGTTCTATGTAAAACTTTGGTCAGATTTGTGTTTTGTGAGATTGTTTATTATTATATTAATAAGTCTGGGTCACAAAAGTTCTGTTTAGACAACTAGAATAAAAAATTAGAAAACGAAAACTATTTATCATGATTTCGGAGCACAGCCGGAAGTACCTCCGGCTCAAGGTCACGACCTCGATTTTCCCACGCTTACGACCAATCACAGCAGGCTTCAGTCAGAATGAGATAGACGTCACGACTACAGAGCGAAACTTGTCAGACATGTAAATGCCGCCTGTCCACCTTTTCNTTAAATATATGTTATCTTATCTTTAAAAAATAAGGGTGCTCACCCATACAGCTAATCAAATAAAAAAAAACAGAGCACAGGACTGAAAAATGCTTTAAAAAAATACAGATACGGATTGGTTCTAACCTTAGTCTGTTCCACACTGGACCTGAGTGCATCATGTAACTCTGACACTTTAGCCTGGTAAGAGAACTTCTCCTTCCTGGTCCCTGCAAGTTCACACTTAGCTGCCTCCAGCTCTGCCTGAAGACCTTGGAGGCTTTTCTGACTGCTCTGCAGCTCCATCTTCTGTCTCTCCTCTGCAAGGGTCAGCTTGTCTTGGAGAGCCTTTGCTTCCTGAGATTTCTGCTCTAGCTGCCATTGGAGAGTCTACACAGAGAAATATATTGAACAGGGTTAGAGAATATTAAAAAATTAATTCTATTTTCATGCACTCAATTATGCAATAAAGCTTTCAAAAAAGCTTAGGATTCTGTCACATTTTTCGCATATTTAAATTCCTTATGAGTTCATCATGATCCTTTTTTTTTCAATGAACAGCATTAAACACAAATTCACTTTGGTTTATTTATTTATTTGCTCCATAAGTCAAAGTAAACTAGATGTGCATTAGTCAAAGCAATTGAAAAACCTTTGTAATTTTGAGTTTGTAGCTGCTTATCCAAAAAAAATTATAAGATATTATTAAGCACTGGAAATATATGCAAAAGTGTGACAGGGGTTTTACTGGCTTTGTAGTGTATCAACTTTGACATGTAAATAAAAAGACTCAAAACTTTGAGCTTGGATAATGCTATCATTAATCATGCCAGTGGTTAAATAACATGCTTCAGTAACTAATTTTATATCCATTTCTCTCTTACCTTAATCTGATCAACCAACACAGCTTGCTGTGCCTTCTCTTCAGAAAGTTCTCTGCTCACTCTCTCCAGCTCCACCTTACCACTGTTGTGCTGTGAATTCAAGCTTTCCAAATCAGTCTGATACTGAAGGGCAGCTTGCTGAGCTCTCCCTAGCTCAACTTCAACAAGATGTGCTGCTTGCTTCTTTTGCTCCAAGTCTTTCTGTAACTGGTCAATGTCTAGGTGCATGGTCTCAATCTCACGGCGCAGCTTTACTGTTTCTCCTTTCTGTACCATTAACTGCAAAGACAATATTATTGGTATTTACTAACCCAAAAACTTGCATGAAGGTGACATCTTACTAATACTGGAAATGCCCAAACATTATTCTTAAAGGCTATGCTTTTCAAACATTGCACCTGAAAGTTTAACTTGGTACAATTTGCATTTTACACACAATGAATGGTGTTTATAGAATATTTTTAAAATAACAACACCTCGAAAGGCAAGATGGCAAACACTACACATCAGTGCTCCTTCTGTGGATAACTGAGAATCCATCTCTTTGTTTTAAGGTATTCTCTTTTCTTATAACACTACACAACAGACTTATGCATGTTGACAGGTATGTACAACCCTGGTTCCAAGCTGAAGATTTAAGATTTAATCCCAAGCCTTCAAGTATCTACCCATTAAAGTTTCAACTTCATACCTGCTTCTTCAAGCCTTTCACGCTGTCTTTCTCCCTGGCCAGGCTCTCCTCAAGGGCAGTAATCTTCCCCCTGTATTCTGCCTCCACCTGGTCCTTCCTGATCAGCTGTCCCTGGGCAGTGGCACTGAGCTCTGTGATAGAGGACTCCCTCAAGGCCAGGGCCTCCTCCAGCACACTGGTGTGCTGCTTCAGGGCTGACTGGCTCTGCAATACACCTGGGAAAGACGAAATAAGATGGTATGTATTCCTCTTTCACTCTCATAAAAGAAACTCTGTGTACTAATTTAGTCTTTTAAGACTTTTTTTTTTCTCAAGATATATGTGATGGTTTGTGATACATATCTGAACTTTTAGAAAGCAGAAAAAGTTCATAGTGGATGTGTGCTATAGAAAAGGCTCAAGTTAAAATGTGTACCTGATAACCTTCCTTTCTCCCTCTCAAGTTCTAACATAAGCTTCTTGTTTACAGTATCAGATTTGTGGTGTTTCCTTCCATGTTCTTTTGACTTCTGCAGATCCCTTTCCAAACTTCCAATTTTCTTTTTGTAGTCTTCAATGACATTTTCTGTGGCCTTGTGCAGCTGCATTATTTCTGCTTCAAGAGTAAGCTTCCGATTTCTTGTTGCCTCCAAATCACCAGAGAGAGCCTTGAAAATATGCAATATAATATATAATTTTAATATTAACAGCCAAAAATAAGATATTCAAAGAATATTTTGACATTTATGCTCACATCTCTGAAAATTGATAACTGTCTTATCAAAGAATGTGCTTTTTCTATGATGAGTCTGGCCACCTCCTAATCTGATGCTTTAAAAATATACATTTTCCAATTTGTCAACTGATCATCTCACACACAGTGTATTGCAATATTTATTTACTTATTGTTCCTACCTCAATCTGCTTGTTGAAGTCACTTCTCTGTTTCTCTTGGTCTTCTTCAGATCTCTTCCTGAGAACCTCCAACTCTTTAACAGCCAAATCTTTTCCATTCTTAGCATATGCCAACTTTTCACGAAGCTCAGCCACAATGTTGTCAGTATCAGACTGCTTATCATGCAGGTCTGACTGCAGCTTGCTCAATTCAGCCTCGAGTTCAGACACAGTGACAGCATGTGACGAGGCCTCACTCTGAGTCTGGGTCTCAAGTTCACGTACCCTGATCTTGAGCACAGTGTTCTCATCAGTCAGTTTTGCAATGGTACCCTGGTCATCACTCGTAGTTTCCAACTGTCCTTCCAGGTAAACATTATGTTTTGTTGCATCTTCTAGTTTCTGTTTTAATTCGTTAAGCTTTTCCTTGAGACTAGCCACCTCTGACCGACTATTTTCTGACTTCTCTTGGGAACTTTGTGCAACATTGAGTTCATTTTTCAGCCTGGAAATCTCAATTTCCTGGCCAAGTTTCTGTGACTGCAACTCATGTGCGGCTGAGACTGCTGCAGTCAGGTCACTGCTACATCTATCATAGGCTATTCTCTGATCGTAAATTTGGGAGTTTGCTGCTTCCAAAGACCTTTCCAAGGACTGGTTTTCATGTTTCAGTTTGTCTAACTCCATTTCTTTTGCACTAACACTCTGCTTCATGACCAAGAAACCCTGTTCTAACTTCATCAGATCATCCCTCAGTATATCTATGGACCTTTCAACTTCTTCTTTTTCACGCAGTGCTGAGTCCAGCTCCACCTGTAGCCTGGCATTATCTTCCCTCAATATCAGCACTACCTCGTCCTTGGACCCTGTTACCTGCTGTAGACCCTTTAACCTAACATCTGTATCCAAAGCACTTTGGCGTAACATTTCAATAGTGGCCTCTCTCTCCTGTAATTCTTTGGTGGACAAGGTCAGGCGCTTCATCAGCTCAGCCTGCTCGTGTTCCAACACACCAATCCTGGCTTCTTTGACTCTAAGTTCATTGGAAGACTTTTTCAATTCAGCCTCTAAATCAGCTACAGAGGTAGTCACTGAGGAGAGGCGTTCTCTTTCCTCTTCAACTTTTTGCATCCTTAATTTCAAGACCTCTTCTGCCGACCCCTGTTGTCGTTTTATTTGGTCAAACATGGCTTCTCTCTCCATCATTGCATATTCTATACTTTCCAGGTGATTGGCAAGCTGCTCTTTGTCTTGCAACACCTTCTGTTGAAGGTCAGCATGCCTGTGACTGATATCGACATTTTCAGCCTTTAATTTCTCAATTTCATTTCCCTGTTGCACAGACAAGGTTTTCAGGGACGCAACTTCCTGCTGCAATTGTGTTTTTATTTCCTGAGCATTTGTAAGCTGCTGCTGAAACCAATCTCTTTTCTTGAGATATCCCTCAATGTCACTTCTCAGAGACTGGATCTCAGACTCTGCTTGCATCTTGACTTGCAATGAAGTCTGTAATTCAACATAGAGTTCAGCAACTTTATTCTTTAAATCTTGAGCAGTCATATCTTTCCCTTGTAATTCCTGTCTTAAAGCCTCCACCTTATTCTGCAGCCTTTCACATTTGGTCTGATTTACATCCAGTTCATCCTGAAGATTCCTTATTTCAAGACTTTTGTCATCTGATGATCTTTCCAATTCACTTACATGGTGTCGAAGTTCTTTTGAGCTTTGTCTGAGCAGTTGTAACTCTGTCAACAATTCATTCCCTTTTGAGCCATAAAATGAACTTGAAGCCTGGGAGACTTGAGACTTCATGGCTGCTAGCTGTGCCTGTAGTTGAGCCCTTTCTTGCATGGCATTTTTTGCCTCTGTAGACATTACTTCTAACTGACCTTCAAGGTTTGCCTTCTCTTTCAATAGCTGTTCCACATCAAAAGTTTCTGTTGCTGAGGTAGCTAAACTAGAAATGCTTGAAGATCGACTGCGTCCATCTAATGGTGTCAGTTCAGGTCGTAACAAGCCTTCTAATCCCTGTGGAAGACCAGGGTGCCAACCATACTCAGATGATCTACTGCTGCTCTGGGACCTGTCACACATCTCCCCTGCTTCCTCTGAGTACCCCTTTATAGGGAGACCATGTGCCTTATATTGCTGCCATAGATCCTCATCTGATTTGACTGTTCTGAACTGGGGAGCAGGTGACTGACCTTTTTCTCTAACAGGGGTAGAGGTCCCAACTGGGCCCAGGTTAGGTGGCAATGCATGTTGCTCTATCTGGTCCAGATCTAAGTCTTCTTGAATTGCACATTCCCTAAAAGTATCACCGATGCTTTGACCCTTTGAAATCAACACTGTGTTGGTGTTAAAGTTGTTGCAGTTATTGGCATTGTTAAAGTTGTTGCAGTTATTGGCACTGTTAAAAGGAGTTGGGGTGACGTTACCCTCTTCATGGTTCATATCATTGGTTGGGGTGACCCTGTCTGGAAAAATGGCGTAATTAGAGTCACCATCACCAAAATTAAATACTTTATTTTCTTTTTCAGTTTTTCCCTCAGCCTGCTGATTGATAATTTCCTCTTCTGTATGAACAGCAGTATCTACTTTAAGCTCTTCAAAATACTCCTGAGGGGCATCTGTATCATTCCCTAGCTGTGGGAAGTCATTAGATGTGTCCCCTGTGACCACCGACTTGGTCTTAGTAATGGTTATCAGCTCCTGTGGGACCCTAATGAGATTCTGTGGCATGGGTTGGGGAGAGGAGCCATCCAACTGATAGGGATCTGTGTTAGACCTATCTGGTAGTTCCAATAGGTCATTATTGAACCTGTCTGTGTGTGGGTTGTCCGTGCCATCAATAGTGACCCCATGAGGGTGAGATTGGTCTGCTACACTTCCATTTGCCTGCAGTATTTCATTATTGCCTTTACTGATTGATGGTTCCCTGGAAATCTGATTATCTCCCCTCTAAAAATCAATCAAACAACACTTGGTTATAATGAGATTGCCTAAACCAAAACAGTGTGTGTCACGCCAAAATAGGTAAATACCATAACTGATATGTTTGGAGATTAACAAGAAGGAAAACCAGCCAACTTTGTGTTTGTACAGAAATGTTATTTCAAAACAAATAATGAGGTAATAAAAATGAGGAGTGACATTTGAATGATTTTAATATTATGATCAATAAAAGTTACAGGTCCTAAAACATGTCATGATCATAATTGGTATTTTAAGTCGTCATATCAATTACATTTGTGTTTTAACATTTAAAAATTTTTAAAAATCATCTCATCCCAGCAGAATACACATCTAAGACATACTTTGGCAACACACACATTTTGGTGGGAAACATTACCACCACCAAGACAATTCAGGTACCCAACCTAACATTTGAATACAGTGATTTTCTCAAATAGGTGAACAAAACTTTACAAAACTAAAATTCTCCTATCCACTAACCATTTGTTAACAACACTGGTATAAAAACAATACTAATAGATCTTCCCCTCAAGTACATAATATTATATTATGAATATCTGCTGGGGATAACTAACCTCAAGACTGGTGCCGTTTTTAGCCAACTTCAATTTCTTCTCAGCATCAGCTATAGCCTGTGCTATAAGTTCATTTGAAGCAGGAGGCAATGCTGAGGAACCTTAAAGAAAACAATTTGTTGATAACTTATTCAAACAGAAAATACACAAAAAATACCACAAACATCATAAATGCTAAGTTTTTGACAAAGTTAAATTATTGTCAGCTGCAAGAAGGTATCGTAAGTATTCCAGGAAAATAGGATGTCAGAAAACAGTCTCTTCCTTTATTTTTTCATGTTGAAAAAGATGTCTGTAATTCTTTACCTATAACTGACTTTTGCAATGCCAGGGCATCCACTGTGTTGGTGAATGCAGTAAAACTATCTGAGGAACTGGTCCTTGTAAAGCTTTCGTTGTGTTCCATTATCTGCAAAGGAATGGTTTACAAAAAAGATGTGAAGATGTTAGCTTTTTCATACATCATGTCACAGTGCCATGGACACATATATGGCTCAACTTGTTATCCAGCTCAACTTGTTATCCAGGCAATAACACAAACCATAAGTGAAACTTCATGTCATTAACCATGCTATTTCCTGAAGCAACTTAACTTCACCAAAAATTGAAGAGATGTGAACTTAAGTGTCTTGTGACATATCAAAGTATACTGCATATGCATCAATATTGTATTATGTCTGTTATAAGAAAGAATTCCAAAATGAATCTACAGTAAATTTTAATTGCAAAAACAAATTCTAAAAACTTGTTAATACGCTCTGGACACTTCATTAAAGCTAATGACAAGCAAAAACAAGCATTAAAAAACACAAGCTATAATACAGCATTAAAACTAGAACAAACCAACAATGGAATCCAAAACAAAAAAAAAGCCATTTTCGAGGGGTTGTATCACTTTCAAGGTCTGGTGTGAATAAGATAAGAGGCTTTGCATGATATTTAGACACAAATTTGGCCTTGGAAAATGTCTTCAAACATGTACAGAATCCTTTGAAGGGTAAAGAGTTGGCATTACAGGAAAATTTAACTTTTGCTAAATAAAAGTAAAACGCTGAGTGTGTGTCCTTAAAAATCGAGATGACAGTTGCCGTTTCCACCACTCTGTGATACACCATGCAGCATCCACTTACAGCTGCAGTCCCGTTCCTTTCTGTTGTGTCTGATGAACTGGAATTGTGAATTATGTCATTGTGAAGTGTTGAGTGGTAGGAGCAAGTAGAGAACACGCCAGGGAGAGCCTCTTCAACAAGCTCTGGTTCAGATGTCTCGTCAGCACCCTCTACGCTAGGTCTACTGGCAGAGTGAAAGTTAGTGGCTACTGTAACACCAAAACAAACACAATATGCACACTGTTCAGTGTGAAGTGTTAAAAGAGAGGATATTAACATTTCTGAATAACACTTATTGCTGTGTTAGCTGATTAAACCACTGAAATGATTGCAATGACACTCATTATAGCTTTAAACAGTGACCAAGGGATTAAAACCACTCTTCAGAGGTCACAATTTCAAAATCTCATGAAAAAAACAAATCAATCCTTTAAAACTTCCACCAGCTGTACTGGGTGACTACACAAGCTTCAGTGGTTTGTTCATTATAACATCTTAAATGAGATTTTTAAAGAGAGAAAACTGCAAACTAACTGTGTATATCAAGATATCCTATCCAGCAGAGTATAGAGCATTGAGAAAGGTGATTTTAGGAAGAAGTTTATATCTAAATGATGGGAGTAAATTGTCAAATACAACACAAAAAAATATTAATCATAAAAATAATAATCAAACTAAGAAAAATTCTTTAATATTTCCTGCAAGTTATATTAACAAGCACCTTCCACTAACCTTCTTCTATCTTTATTGTCCTGTGTATTGGTGAACTTCTGGAATGTGATCTTGAGCTACCTAGGTGATTGAAATGGACATTGTTCTCTAAATGTACATCCACAACTTTGGTTTCAACAATTTGCCCACTGTGAACTCTAGAGGGCAGCACAGTATCAGCATTATAAGCAGAAACAAGAGGAGCCCATTGCCCTAGAAATAGAGAGACCATCTACACCCAAGATAAAGCAAGGATATGGAAAAGATATGCAAGCATCAACTTGGAATTTGTAGAAAAATGCATTAATTTTCTTAATGCTGGAAGAGTAGTAAAATTCCTGAAAGAGTAACAAAATTTCATTTGTATGCATTAACCCTTTGATAGTGTTCAAGATAAAAAAATCTCAGTACCAAGATACTTTTGAAAATATCAGCAGGAAATGCCACAGAAATTCCAAAAAGAACCAAAGGATAAGGTATGAAATATTTATAAAAAGCAAGGTTTACAATTACATATTACTTATATTCCAAAATACATTAAACATTTTATGTACAAAACGATATTACTTTAATACCACACAACAAAACTGAGGTCACATTCAAAACAGATGACCAGCAGACTAACTGATCTGGGGACTAAATATGGCCGATCCCACTCAAAAGCAAGCCGCCTTTTCCCCTGATGGTCTCCCCGCATCCACTTGCGCCATGAAATGGTTTGAATCTCAGCCTCCAGGTCTAATTGCAAGGCCTCTGCAGGGATGGCACATGTGGAGGCGGGGAGACTATCAGGGGTTTAGTCAGCATTGCTTTTAGGTGGGTCAGCCATATTTGAACTGAAAATCTGCAGATCAACTTGTTCTGAATGTGCTCCTATATACCCCAAAATAAAATTTTAATGAAATAAGTTCATATCTCACACTGGCTTAATGTACTCAGATCTTTTTACTAGTATGGGACTCTGACAGCAGAGAGAGGATGCTATTAATGCATTACCAATGCACATCTGGAACTTTACCTTGATCCTCCTGTACATTTGACTGATTCACTGCTGTGCCATTAGCACTGCTCAAGAGCTCATCATATTGATAAGAGACCACATTGCTGAAGGAGTCAAGGGTCTGGTTCTGTGGAATATCTTCTGCCTCAAAATTAACCTGGTGAAACCGTAACTCAAATGGCTCCATCTAACAGCCCGATCTTGCCACGCTGCAAGCTGTACCTGCCTGTCCTCACTACAGCAGATGATGACTGCAATAAATATAAATGACAGAGTTAATCAGACTACAGTAGCAGACAACAGAAACCACAGTATTGAGAACATATTCTAGTTTATAGTGGAGATGAAGATCCACCTCCTCATCCATGATTCATATCATATGAATAGTCAATGGGTATTCTCTATGCGGTGCCTATGAAAAAAAAATATTGTGGCACGTTATAATTATAAACAGCAGCTGACATGTATATATGTAGACCAAATAAGCATTTAAAAAAAACTTGTTAAAAAACTTGATGTATATAATTATGCCAGATTTCTTTCCAAACTAAGATGGATTGCAAATGATATGTCCAGATACATTTTGTGAAATATGTATAAGTACATACTAATTTGCAACAAAATTATGACCTACATATCTAGTTAGCATAAACTGTATATTATCCTAGTGCATAAGAATAACAATATGAGATAATATATGTATGCATGCATACAAAACGGAATACACTTTATAATTAAATATACAGCCAGCATATAGCGGTAACTTGGAATGTGTAAAATTGTGTACCTATCTACATGTATTTATAAATGCTTTCAGAGCAGAAATAATACCAGTTTGTTCAGCACATAGCTTTATTAGCAGTATTTGCTAATCACCAATTCTTATGTTTGTGTTAGGCTGTTTGGTTTTATATTCAATATTAAAAATGCATTCGCAACTCAGCTGTGTATTCTTACTGATTGATAAGTAGATATTTACAGAGTGAGATTAACCCTGTTCTATTTGAATATATATATATATATATTGAAACCAATGAAGAGAAATCTGTGTGAATTTAATTTTCTAAAATGGCTATCTCTGCTTCTCTCTGATTACTTAACCGATATTGTGCTGATTGAGAATTAAAATTATGGTCACAAATTAACCTGCTAAACAGATTAACTTAATTCCACAAATCTCACTGTTCACCTACTCAGTTAATCAGAATGGGCTTAACAAAACAAGTCATCCATAAACTCAGAGCTTTAAAATGATAAATGCCCTACAAAAAAGTACTTGATGTTGATATTTTCTTCAAAATGTCAAGAAACATGGCAGTCTAAATAAGCCATGATTCATTTAGAACGAAGTTTCCTGGTAAAATATAGACCAAAAGACTGAATCTCCGTAATTCTAAGTAAAGGTTTGTGCAATGATTTAGCAGTGGGAGAAAATAACTATTTTATCAAGAAAAACTACATTTGGTGTCTAAAAGCCCATATATGATAAGGTTTATTTGGGTGCAAAGCTGAGGGACTGTGGAAGTATTCTATTCACATGTACTTGAATGAAGTCAAAAGTAAAAGATGGGCTGGTATGCATTAGGTGTGTGTGAATAGAGAATGTGAATAGAGTACCTTCAGTATACCACGGCACGGGTATGGCAGAAAAGTGGGTGAGGCTCTTAGACCACATTCACAACCACATATTTACTAGTCCACGCATCAAATATGGCTGACCCACTTGAATACTTGTTGCATAACCCCAGAGGAGAATCTATTCAGAGTCTGTTGGGGGATAAGATGGCAAGCTTTTAAGTGGGTTGCCATATTTAAGTCAGTTGTGAATGTGGCCTTAGAGTAAATGCCTTTGCATTGTGGCATGTGTAAAAGAGAATGATAAGAACAGAGAAAGCAAATATAAATGACTATTTACACCAATGAGGAATAAATGTGTTTAGATTCTCCAAAATTGGGCATCTATGGTACAGAATTATTTTCCATGTGTACACTCACTGCACAAAGACTAAACAAAACCATCCTTACTTAGGGCATGTAATGCATGTACAGTAGCTAACGTGATAATAAAGCATTGCTCAACTATCAAAAGATGCTATGATTAAACAAATGCCAAGTTTGCAGATGTAAACAGTTAGACTAATAGAATGGCGAAAAAAATATAAAAGAAGAATTTCTATGATGAAGAGATTCAGAAGCTATTATAATGTTACACCGAAAAACACTATTTTGATCACCAAGTTTAACAACATGACAATTGTTGACAAAAAGAAAACTTAGCAGGATATCACAGCCAAATTTAAGCCAATGTGGTCATGCTCAGTTGTTACCTTTATTATTTTATTATCTGTATGGGTACATGGGGATTTGGTTACATTCGTTTTGAATGCTTTAACCAATTTTGATAGAGTTTTGACTTATGGTAGACTAGCACGTGGTTTAAGGTTATTTTGGGTTGTAGGTTTATGCACCAGGCTTATTTATCACATGGCGATTTTATGACACTCGTTTACTATTAACCAATCAAGGTGACAGCCGAGGGTGGTATAATCACATATGATTATCTGTTAATCTCCCTGTGATTAACATTTATTCACGTGGTTGTCAGACATTGTGATAAGAGGCTGTGCAAATATATGCGGTTCAAGTTTACACTGGCGGCGCCGGTGGACAGTATGCTAGTATTTCACCCTATTTATTTGCTTGTTTCTCACAGCAGGTATTTATATGGCTATGAAAAGGCATCTACATAAAAAGAATAGCTGTTGGGATAGAGTAACCATGCATGTATGACACAAATTAAATGGAATGGAATCCGAAGTCCTCCCCCCCCCCCCCCAATCTCCTCTTCCCCTTTGTTGTCATGCATTCCCATTTTGTCCTAGGACGATTGCTCATAACATATTTGAATAAGCTGTGAAGAAAAAACACACAAAATAATTTTAAAAATACCGAAAAATAAACACATTATCACACTTTACAATAAAAATTCTGAAAATCTTACCAGACGTGGCATCAGTGTTGTTTTGGGAAAAACGGGCCACTTCCTGTCACTTCCTGTTTAATCAACCCAAACCGAGGCCGGATGTAGTGAGTTTGGAGGGATATTTAAAGAACATTTTTGATTAGAAAATGCTATTTGTGCAGATGTTTATCCTGTCGTGGTTGCTTGAATCTGAAAATGTTATTAACATCAATCTTATTAATGTACACCATTCTCGGGTAAAACGACATGGCCCTGATGCTGGCACTATAGATGGTAAGAAGGTATTACTAGTACACTAGACTAGTTATAGTAGTTCTCATGTTATTTACTTCAGTTATAGACATACAATTTATTTAGGCTCTACCAAGTTACCTAGCTTTCAGTTTCCCCTAAAATGTGAGTTAGTTAATTATGAGTTAGTTAAGTTACTCACAATCACTGCTAAGTAACCACTATACTGAGTTGGAGGGGACACTAGCAGGAATAATTATGAAATGCAAGGCTTATTATTATATAATTTTTATTATCGTTTTTATTTTCAAGACATTTTGGCACAAGGGACAGCCTTCAGCCTATCACAATTGAATAGATCTACTGGTACAGTTCTTTCCTTTAAAAAAAGATTCCCTTATTGAATTAAATTTATTACAGGTCGCAGTTTATTTGTTTTGAAAAACAACAGAGGCAACATAACATTACCCAGTAACTTTAATTCTTCTATGGGCTATGTTGAGTACATATGGCATGTAGAAGTTAAGTCTCAGGACTGTGGACAGCCACCATGGCAGCTGTCAGAGGGCACCCCCCACGTGAGACTCAAAGACGAGGTTTTTCAACTACCAGAGCAAAACAAGTACAACAGGTGAGTATGATCTATTGCTATCATAGTCATATATTCTTGGATACTGTTTGTTTGATTATTACTTATTTTTGTTAGTGTAAATATTTTCTAGGGTGTTGGTGTTAATGATTTTGTACCCAATCTAGGATTTTGTGATTGATATCAAAAGAAAGCAACACAATTTGTTGGTGATTTATTGAATAAATTATGATGACTTTCCATTTATCTAACTCTCAATTTGCTACCATTTCTTCAAACAGGTGTGCTACTGCTTATGTTCAATATGGCACATACACACTGGACAATTTGCAAGTTTTACACAGTCCGCAGCTTTGTGGCCAGAGCAAGTTTGACCCCTTTGAGACCAGCAGTGACCTGTGGGTGGCATTTGTATATTACGGAAGGGAGGATGAAATTGCCAAAAAAGAGGACATGGCAATACATCTGCATTATGAGATATTTTGTTTGGAGGCAGGTAAGAACAATTAAGAGTTTAAATTTAATATTTGATTTTTGCAATTTTTCTTTGAACTGTAACTATATAATACAGAACATATTTGATGGACATTTTGGTTAAAAAAAATAATAACTGGCATTTCAGTAAAGGTATATAGAGCTTGTGTACCAGTAGATGAATTATGCATTATGCTCCATGCTTTTTTGTTTATGGTGGAATTAACTAGCGTCAGAAGAAGACTCGGCACTACCTGTTGTCCTAGGCTGTGTGATAACAGTCCTTGTTGTCATAACTCCTGGGTCTGTGTACTGTATGTAAGTGCTGCTTTTATGGGCTCCCCTGTTGATACCTGGAGATGGTGGTGGTACAGAAATAATCTATAAAAACTAACATGTAACCTCTTTATAGTGTGTCTTTGTTCATGTGTGTGTGCATGTGTGTGGTTGGAGGTGTTGAAGCACTGCATACTTTTTACATGTAGTCTTGGGCATGCAGTGCTAATTGTAACCCTGATACCACTCTTTGATAATTAACTTGAAAGGATATTTTAGATGGAACTGTAGTAGCTCTGGCAAGGGATTCCAAAAGCATGCAAGCTGCATTCACCTTTACTTTTGTTACATTTGTTATCATCATAAAATTAATTGTGCTATTATTTTCTCTTTTGTTTACAACCAATGGAATCATGAATTTTACTGTTTCTGGAGTTTTTAGTTTGCTCTTTATTAAATCTTCTTTGTGACATTCAATATATTTACTGCAGTAAAAAGAAAAGAGATGCCAGAAGAGTCAGAGAGAGACAAAGACGGAGAAGGTTAACCAGGAAAAATGTTGTCAGGAAACCTTATGGATCTGTCAAAAAGAAAGGCAAAGAAGATATTCCAGAGGTACAGGTATTGTGTTTTATAGTTTTTAAAATCTTAATTTGCGTCTAGGTTGGCTTTTTAGAATGAGCACATTAATTTATCTTCATAATTTTTGATACATCTTTAAATTAAGTGACTTAAAGGTGTACAAAACACATTATAAGAAGACACAATATGACTGTAAAAATGTTTATATTTAAAGAGTGTTTTTTATATATTCATAGAGAGTTTCATGCTTGGAAAATTTTGACACACTCCAAAAATCTAAAGACAACACTTACGATGAAATCCCTGAGTTTAGGTTTCAAGCAAAAGTTGCCTTCAAAGGTATGCATTTAGTTAAAAAAAGATTTTTTAAAATCTCCCCATAAAATCTTACCATAAACAAGACATATCTCACTGTCAAACAAAAAACTAGATTCTGTCCATTTCCATTTTATTTACTTTCCTTTTTCTCTGTTCACTGCCACTAAACTGACAACCTGTATCTTTCCCCTCAGGTGATGACAGTACATACATGTGCCCAAGAGACATCAATGATAATGTCATCCCACCTCAAAACTCTGTTTTAGCCCACACTCTAGGAAAAGTAAGTCATGGTGTTTAGATTTTAGATTTTGTTTGACATGATACATGTATAACAGTTCTATTTCGGGCTTGCTCTAGATATTTTCTGAATACCACATAAAAACTTCTCGAAAAAAAAAAAAAAAAGCATAGTAATATCTGAATATTGAAATATTTCAAAATAAGAATTGTAATCCAAAATTGTTTGTACAATTATAGTATATCTAGAATTATCAGTAATCAATTTGGCACAGTAACAGACCTGTTAAGATAGTTAGACCACATAATTGCACTTGTATTTTGCATACAGGCTTGCCTGTATTTTAGTACTCTTCGGTGAATTCATCCTGTTATTTGAAGTGCCAGCCGTGGTATAAGTCAGTTACAAATACTCGATCGTCGTCCACTGTTTGCAACATACAAGAGCAAATTATATCTTGGCTATGCTCTTGTATGTCGCATACAGTGGGCAACTCTTGTTGTAACTAGTACTTATAATACAGTATGTCTCACGATGTGCAATCTCTTCTACCAATTCAGAATGTAGGTGTTGACTCTACACTGAATATCCCAAAGAGTCCATCAGTGGCAACATACATATCCTTTCATGGCATGCTTGCCTCATGTAATGGCCACAGTACACTGTTCTCCAACCAGTTGCCTCCAAGCAGACACAGGAGCTCTCAGTCCACAGAACTTCACAGTGAGGCACATTTCCAGCAGAGCTGCATTTCGCCATTGTACAGGTCGCCATCTAGTGAGGAGCCACAAGAAACCAAATTTAGAAGCAGCATCACTTTCCTGTCAAAATTAACACCAGTTTGGGGGGATTTGAAAAAGAAAATTTTGGGAAATCCAACCTCAACTCCACTTGATGATCTGGATGTTAAGAAGGCCTCATGTTATATGCAGGGTTTCACCAGAAAGCATCATTCTGCTCCTGAGCCCCATGATAACGCTGTAACCAATCGGTCACCCAAACCCCATGTGCAATTTGACAAAATACAAAATCAGCTGCTTCCACAGAGTATTTATGCAAAATATTGTATTAAAATGAAGAAGGACCACCAGGGATTGGACAACATATCACAAGAGGAAGGCATGAGGGTCCCTCTTACCAAAATTTTGATTTCTCCTGCCAAAGATGACCTGGCTCCTGGAGTTGATGCTGCAGACCAGAGGGAAGACAACAGTGCCCCAGGTATGGTAAAGATACATGTAACCTCTGCATTTGACTGATGATAACTGATTTTTCAGACTAGTACTCTCTACCAGATGAGTTCAACGTGGTGATTGCATCATTTATTGCAAAATTTCACATTATAAAATGAGTACAGAATTGGTGAGTATCTAGTAAAAATATTAAATTTCAAGACCATTATGGCTCACACTTCATTTTGGTTGCTGTGGTAAGTATACAAAAGGAAAAATTGCATTTGTCTTAATTTCATTATCTTGTGGTGCAGCTGTCACCTTTTATTTATTAAATTTGTCCCAGAAATGAAGAAGAGCAACCTTGCCACTGCCACACCTACCATTAAGGTAGAAGACTACAGTGACGTTGTGATGGAGACTCCTTGGGTGACAGCTCCAGACAGTGCCTCCCCCAAATCACCATCTGCTTGGAGCATGGACAGTGTCTTCATTTAGACTCTAAAACCAATTATTTGTTTTAATCAGTTTGGAATCTAACAAGACGATAAATTGAATTCTTCTCATTGACAAATAGTTAAAAATGATCTAATGTAGAAAATGCAAAGTGATATATATTGTGTTGATCAGTTTTTGCATAGAAAGAAATGTATGAATTAATATTTTTTCATTGTATTTTTTCTGTACTTTGAGTTACAAATAGATATCAAGTAGAGCGTCATATGATCAATTAAAAGTATGCTACAACCAGTAGCAAAGTTTAGCTTTGCCCTGTATATTTTCTAAGACATATTTGTTCACTTATTAATGTTTCGTAACACTGGTTATCAAAGAGAAAATGAAAAGTACAACGTTTCCCTTATTTTCTTTTTCATGTGCAACTTCTGAGACATAATGCTTATAGAAAAGAAAAATCTACAGGGGAAAACTTTGTTTAGACAAAGCAAAATGTCTTTATTGTTGATGCGTCTGCCTATGGTAAATGAGTCCTTTTTCTCATCAAAAATACTACATTGTAAAAATTTTAGCATTACTGCAGCAATGGTCACACCTAATACGACATGGCAGAAGGCGTCAAAATCTCACTGCCTTGGCTTTGTTCTCAAATGTGTGCTCCAAGATCTTCCTTTGTGTGTAGTAACTTGAACCTGAATTGCCTGCCAAGTATTGAGATATGATGCCTTTCCACACCAAGCATTTTACCTTTGCGAAACTGCTGCACTAAAAGTTTTGAAGTTCTACCATGTAATTACAATACAGAGGACTTCACTTGGCTTGTTGAGCATGGGAGCTCCTTTTAGGCGACTCTTGTGTTATAGTCAATCTCTCAGAACATACTGGTATAGCTTGATCTCTAAGATATTGTGTTTGAAAGCCTACAAATATGTAGTCAATTTTTTTAAAAATATAAATGTATATAAGCACAAAAAAAAAACATACAACTAAATTAAGTGAATTTTTTTTATTCCTCCAGTTGTTGAATATGGAATGTTACACTCTTACAGGGGAAAAATCTGTGCTTTGGACAATTTTGTAAATAATAATAATAGTGTATATAACTTTCAGTAAACCTGAAAAAATCCAGTGTTTTTACAACACAGTCCATTCATGCTTCATGCTGCACATGATTGCAAGGTTGCTCAATGGCATATAGAACATTTGTATGATGCATTTGTAAAATAAATAACTCTTTTTAAAATATGTATAACTTAAGTCCTCACAGATATAACAAAATACTTGACGAATTATTTGTCCCCAGTCAAATATGACATTTTAAAATTCTAATATTGCACATCAACTCGTAAATGAGATTCATAGATATATCACATTTGTGCCCACCCCCTCTCTTACTTGTCTTATATTACCATCCAGTTCTTTGATCAGACGAACAGTTCTGATTTTTAACACATGCAAGGGGCTCTGGGTTTAGTCAGTTCTCTGATTACCACCTGGAAAGTTTCCTTGAATCCAATTAGAACATATAATCCCCACAACTATGTCACTTTCCACTTAAATCGTGGAAACCACTTCTGCTTTACAGAAAAAAGGATTAACACCTTGTGAGTTGCCAACATTACACTTCTCAAAAGGTAGTGATCAATTAGCTTAACTTTTAATAAATAAATTGTGATAGATATCGAAACTTAAAATGTGAAGAATATAGAACTCTCTTCATCACAACTTTGTGCCTTTTGTGATACTTCTTGCTAACAGAACAGAGCAAGTGCTGGCACTATTATGTCCCTTAATACATGCAGTGAAAGACAACAGTGATATTATCATTAATCAAAATGTTACATCCTGCTATCAATTTCAATTTCTTTTTTCAGAACAGACCAGATGAAAGAACATGACTCGTATCCTGACTTATCTAATTATTGCAAAATAAAATTATGCATGTGAAATCTTCAATGTCAACAGGAAAGTTTTTTCCAGTATCTCTATTCTATGCCAAACCCCTCCGCATTTTGTATGGCAATCAACAGTTTTTGTTTCAGAGTCTTCTTGTGTTTATAGTTTGGCAGCACAAGCTGATTGAAGCAGGTATGTGACATGGGCAACCTGAAAATTAAATAAAAACATCAACCTCTAAACAGACTTATCAATAACTTGGATAAATTTTGTATCATCAAAATTAACATGATTCCACATCAAGATGACCCACTTAATTGTCAAACCTCTTCCTGTGAATACTAAAGCACGAGAACGAAAAATGGGCAAGCTTAACTTGATAGCAGTCGATAACTTCCCACATTTAACTTTGTTGTTATGAAAAAAAAAATACTTGTGTAATATACTTACACATTCTGTCCATCCACTTTGGTGATCTTGAACTGCATTTCTGACATGCCCCCAATTGGTATTCGGTCACTGCCGGTTGTAAACAACAGCAAACGCTTCTGCAGCTCCTTTGGCATGCTACAGACCAACTCCCAGAAAACCCTGCAGAAAAAAATATTATTAGAGTCTGAAAAGTATCGAAGTTCTAAATAAAGAACAAAAATAATAATGTCATGAGTCAAAAAATAAACACTGACTAGTAATTCAAGCTGAGAGTTATTAGCAATGGCTTGTACATTTGAAGTGAGACATTCAACTGTTGGAACTGCAACTCTCTTAAATGGAAGTAAAATGTGAAATTCTCCTACTTGATGGTTGTATCTGAAGCAGTGTAGCCATCATATGTGGTGACTTTCTTCAAGTCTTCCATGTTTAGCTCAGGACTCCCACATACCAACATCTCCACTTCCTCTGGGCGCAACATCTAACACAACAGAACAACACGTCAAGCATGACAACAACTTAAACTTAGCCTGTACAATGCACATTTTTTAACTGTCTAAATTTCACACACTTGCCACTTTTTTCACAAATTTGTGGGGCCTATATAATAAGACTTGCAAATGTTGGTTGAATGTATTCTTCACGTGTGACTTGAAAAAAAAGTTTTAGGTTGGGATATAGACAAGCACCACTTACAATGAGTGCATTTGATGCACACACGCTGTGGAATCCATGGTAAAAAGCTTGAAACTGGGAATATATTGACTTGTTCAGAATCCAGTCCACATACAGTTGGACATACTCTGAAATGTAAGAAAATTCTAAATTAAGGAGAGAACCCAACATTAAAACACAAATGATTTATTATGGCTGACCCATAAAACTGAAGTTACTCAGATCAGGACTTTTTACCACAAAATACTTTTTTGTAAAAAAAAAAAAAACTTCAAAGCAACAAAGAGCATTGATGCAACTAACAAAAAGTGATGCCACTTTGCTGGACAAAATCGTTTCCTTACCTTTTCTATTTTTGTTGGTGACAGGAATTTTTTCTCCATTAGGTTTGAGGCTGTGTGTCCTTGTATGGCCAAATTCTGTCAGTGAAACCTGAGGCAAAGGCATCAAGGATTTGAATTTCTGAACAAGAAAACAATCAATACCCTCTACTTTGAATGACTTGACCAACCATAATTTATAACTGAGAAAAAAATCACAAATGAAGATATCCTTACCTGGAAAGTCATGCAGAAGTCATCTTCTACATCTCCCTCATATTCTAACAGTTCTTTCAGTCCTTTAGCCAGACCCTTAAAAAGTGCAAGGCACAATATTTATAAAATCCACATTTTTAAGATAAATAATTCAAGTGAAACAATTTTATTTTCATTATTTTTTCAATGCTTACAAGGAAACTATATATGTGCCAAGGCATAGGCAAAGGTTCTGTCTCTTGTATTGGGAGGTTCTACTTACTGGCATTGTGAGACTCAAGTCATCCACTCCCAAGGGGGTAACCCCTACTGTTGCAGAGGGGTTGTTATATGGGACCACAGCTGGGCTCAACAACTTCTGGTAGCAGCAGAGTGGAAATCTAATATCCAAGTTAATACTGTTGTAAACAGCCAGACCCATAAGCTGAGAGATGTTAAGGATGGGATACTTCATAATTCAAATAAGTTTTCATGTATATTTGTTATATTTCACAGAAACATGCTTTTTTCGTGCAAAACAGATTTGATGGGACACTTGCAATCACATAATAAGTGGCATTTCCCTTGGTGAAACAAATTAACCAATTAAAAAGTGGGTAAATAAAGCCCTTTAATCCTTAGTTAAGTGTCTCACAAAAACCAACAAGCATTATTTTTCATCAATAATATCATTATAATGTCCTGAAATCACAGCCATTAAGTAATAAACCTGAATACAATATTGATCTTCACACCGGAATTTGACCACACTCAAGGATGCCATGCAAATAAAGCAATTATTTGACTTTTTAAATCAGTGTGTGGTTGCCAAGTAATGTCTGGGAGTCAGCAGACTAAAGTGAAATATTTACACACCAGCCCAGACTTTGGGTCCTACATGATTCAATACTTAACAATCATTACAGACTTTTTAGATCTTTATATTTCCAACACATCCATAAAATACATATCCAGCTTTGATAGAGGTAATAATAAAAACCAGAACATGCACACCACAATGTTAACAATTATCAATTCTGTCCTCATAACATGGCAATTATCTATTTAAAGGCCATAAGTCATATTCCCATTTTGATAGCAATGGTGACCACCATCTTTACAGAAGTAAATGATGACTGCAAACCAAATTTTATATTAGTCAGCAGAATGGATAGAGCAAACTGCATTTACCAATGAAAAATGACATAATACATGGCTCAAGGATACAACTCCAACTAGATTGAATTCCTGATAGTTATCACATGGTGCACTGCTAAACCAGTAGACATTGGATTCTTTGTCAAATGTAAACATACCTAAGGCAAAAAAAGGACAAATCCTAATCAATAACAGTATTTTCCTTTATAAAAAATCAATATATATTAAGAGACCATTTGTAAAATGCTTATTTTCTCAAATCTATACTTACTTTCCAAAAAGCCAAGGTATACATAATCCTTCTTGTGTCTCAAAAGTATGTTAGAACCTTTTTAATAATGAAATATTATGAGAAGTAAAAATATACAGAGCATTACTGTTCACTAGACAAAAGGCAAGTCCAGCAAAAGGCTGTCCTAAAAATGCTCACTGTAAGGCAATAAGAATTTTAGAAATATTACAATGAGTATTAGATCTAGAAAATTTCCAATAATGCCAATAAAATTCATAGTTTTTACAATATATTTAAGCCAATTCTTTAAAGCCCCTTAAAAATATTTCACATGCAAAAGCCACTTACCGTATTCTGGACGGAATATCTGACGAATGAGAAGCAGGAACCATTCCTTGGTCAGCCCCCCCATGTCCAGTCCTGGCTCTCCCTCAAATGTCACCTTCAGCTTCTTCTTCAGATCATGCTGCTTTCTGGCAATCTAAAGGACAGCCGTGAAGTATAGCAGTTAATTTTTCAAATTCTGGCTTAAAGTTAAACATGAAACATAAGCTTTCTACTGTAACTGCAGTCTAGTTCAGAAAGTGAAAAAATTAGCTAAAATGTATCTCCCATAAAATGAAATGCTAATGCTGTCAATTAATTCATTAAGCACATAACAAGCAGTCTATAGTTTATAAAACCGATAACATTCTTAATGTATACCTCCTATCTCATTAAAGTTAGAACTTCCAGTTATCCTGAATCTCATTCATTAAAAGAAAATATAATTTTTTACACATGGCAGACATTACTATGTCTAAAGTGTTAACCACCAAGGCACATTTCACAGATTGTTTTGGCTCTTACTGATACATCAATTCATTCAACATTACCTCATTTAGAGAGTCTGAGACTAGGTGAGATCTTCGCACATTGAGATTCATAAATAACATCCCAATGTCAGGAAGCTGTCTCCGCTGTACTTTGGCAACCAGACTTCTCTGAAAAGCAAATTATTAATTCATCACATGTAAACTAATGTCATGTCAGCATACTCAAATTTTGCAGACAACTAAAGTATTGCCGTACTATAAGTCACCATTGATTATGATACTTTAATTTGGAGAATGTCATCTGTTTGTTTTTCCATTTATTATAAATATGTCTCATCCAAAATGAATGCAAAAGCTCTTTCTTTCTAATAAAATGATCAACACATGCATAAACTTTTTATTCTCACTGTGCCAAAGCAATTATACTAATGTGAGAGGAAAAATCAACAAGTCAATATTTAATTCTTTTGCTGCTCTTTGTGCACATCAGTTACCATGGCTGCCAGGTGGTACAAACAGGTGCACAGAAATGATATACGCACAAATGATTATAATCATGCACACTTTATTATCAATATGAGAAAAATATTTTGGGAGCACCAAAAATGTGTCTTTAAAAGAAAAAGGAAAAAAATACTGAACGCATTCTTTGCTGCAGCAACTATATTGATTAGAAACATCAGATACCTGCCTGTGCAATTGAGCAGGTCTAAGAAAGGCTTGCACAGACAATTATCTTTCATTAAGAACAGGATTACTGAGAAGATTTTATTGACTCACCCTTGCCATGACTATCATCTGCTGCTCTGAGTCTCTTTGAAGGATTGTTCTCTTAGCAGTTATGCTTAGAATAAATGGGTACTGGCAAAAAGTGAAACTAAAAAATAAAACATTTATGATTCATTTTAAGTTTATTCTTATAACTTAGATATGCCCTGCTTACAACATATTAACTCTAATAGTAGAAAAAAAGATAACTGAAAAGATACCTGAAATCCCAGATTCTACATCAAAGTTCAAAATGGACATTGCAATTCACAAATGTTGTTTTGGCCAAGATTGATTTAAAAAATCATGAAATCATGTTTGGATGCAGTTTTTCAAGTAAATAAAAGGATAAAGTTATATCTACATTTAAAATCAAAATATAAAACATTATTCCAATATAAATATTAATTTGATGGCGATCATATACAAATTTGAATCAATAACAAGTGATTACCCAGGGTGTGTACTTGGATTCTGCCATGCATAGTATTCAGCCATAACATCCAGATGGTCAATGGTGGTATTGTAGAATTCAGTGTATTTGACTAGAGGTGGGACTTGGACATTATTGGCGGCATCTACAAAGTTTTTTTTTAAATCTATTATTATTATTATTATTATGTGCTTTGAATTCTCAAAGTAAAAGAACCATTCCTTAACAAACTGAATACAATCTAGCAACCCACTGTTAAATTTAATATTCTCAATCTCTCTATCAATTTGTCAACAAACTAGACAGAGTGAGATACTGATGCAGATTATCAAATAAACACATTAAATCAAACATTGCAGTTTGTATCATGACTTCATATTTTCTTCAACACCCACTAATGAATTAAAATGACAAGGTTGCATAGTTTCATGCTTATCACAACCAAGACAGCATACATACTTAGCAATGCCAGAACTTTAGTGGCGCTGGGTATCCACCAGGTACACTTTGACATGGGGGGCAAATCTTGGGGTTTCGGTGGGAAGAGGCGACAGGAGACAAATAGATGGAGCCTGTTGATTACATCTTTGAATCTTTTTTCCTCAATACTGAAAGCAAAAATAAAATCATTTATGCAGCCTTACAGTTTTCCCAGTTTACATCTAATTTGATTAAACCCCCCAAAAAACAGCTTAAAATGCTACACATGGTGTTAGATTCCCTTTTCAAAGGTTAAACATTTTTTCATATTCAGTTGTATTGTGTAGTAAGGAATGATACTATAACTCTCGGTGTTTTATACTTACACTTTCATCCAATGAACCATAAAATGATGGTCTTGATCAGACAGGGCGGCAACCTGTCTCAGTAGGTGAGCTAATATCACATAAGTGGCCACATTTTCAAACTGTGGATTCTACAAGTAAAACTTGCCAAATTAACAATAGAATTTCACACACACACACACACACACACACACACACACACACACACACAGGTTTGATTTGGTTTGATTTTTTATGTACATCAACTCATCAAAACTGTTTAAATCATTACTGAAGTTTTATATTCCAAACACACCAGGCCCATAGGTAGGTTTTTTTTTTTTTTTTTTTTGGGGGGGGGGTCGAAAAATGTCTGCTTTGAATCAAAATTTGAACCAGGTTCTATAACACTTTTCAAATCATGTTAGAGGGTGAAAAAAGTCCACTTTATTAGAAAAAGAACTCTCCTTTGAAATCGCTGGCTACATGCCTGCAGACCTATCTCATCATATTGTTTTTTTTAAATGCCTACAATGTGCAATTAGAAAATATCACCTCAGATAATCCCAATAATCAACACTACTGCACTTTTACCCTTTTTATCAGATTTCATGAGCAAAGTCCAATTAATATAAACTGAAATGATGTTTTTTAAGACACTATATTGTGCAAGCAATCATTAACACTTATGTTAAAAATCTGTACTTAATCAACTTTAAATCATTGTAATTTTAGTCCTGTTAAGTCAAAGCCTTTATAGAGAAGTGCTAATAGAGATAAAGATTATTATTCATTATTTGTCCCTACAATATGCATGTGCTGTCCAAACCTGCCAAGTTTTCTTTTGCTATTTTACTACATTTGAATGCTTCAATCTACTGTTTAAAACTGTCTACAATTTGAAGTTTTCTGCAACAGTATCAATTTCCTGTTTGAGCATCAATATTGACACTCTCCCTGTGATAATAGTAAACAAATACTTTAATAAGGTCATTTTTCTTTCACCTTTCTCTCCAATATTGAGTTCAGGCGCAAGCTCTGAAACCTAACACCTGACTGATTTTTCTCTTCCTTGCACTAAAAATGACCCCACCTTTCATCAAATTAGATTATCAGGCATCCCCAGATAATAACATGTAGTTGTAGTTACTTTACCTTTTGGCCTTCATATAAGGCATGTCAACAGGATATGTCTGTGTTGACAATATAAGTACAGCATGAAATTCAAACTTGACCAAATCTCACATTTTTCACAAATTACTAAAAGTGATTCTCAGTCTCCATCAGTTTTATCAATCAGTCAAAAAACAGTCCTTATTATGATTAGCAGATATCTCCCCACACTTGCCATTAAGACCTTACTATCAGCACAATTTTTTAATTGGGTCCACCGAGAGATTTTTCACTTTCTAACCACTTATAATTCAACAAGTTGTATTGATCTGTTTCTAGAAAACAATTCAGAATTTGGTCTGGCTCAAGTGCTTTTTTTCTTATGATCAACATCCTATAAAATTCAATGATTTATATTCTATAACCCTCTAAATTGGAGTGTTCATTTGATTTTATGACAAGTTCATAGGCATATCCCATGATGTACATACAGGCACGCACACAAAATATCATATTGTATGCTTAGTCACCATGGTTTCCTTCAAACAGTTAGGGGCAACAGTTCTTTAGGTGAACAATATACAGTTTTTACTTTGGATGGCTAAAAACAGTCACAAATGTCTAAAGAATGCAAATTGGCTCAATGACATTATAAGTTTACAGAATATAATGAAAAAACTAAGAGCTTAAAACTGTCGAAATATCCTGATCTGCAATAGTATACTTACTTGTAACAATATCAGGTACGCCCTTAAATCATCTTTAGAATGAGGTCTAAAAAAATATTTAAAGATATAATATATAATAATAATAATATATTGAATTGGTCCTATTAGGTATTATAATGAACCATTCCATGCAAGTGAGACCTGCATCTATGATAAAATAAAACAATGATTCATTTTCAAAGAAATTCATGGACAAAACATAAGGTGCTATTAGAAAAATAAGATGCTTATATTAAGCTGGTTATACACATGTAGATACTTTAAAAAATAAAAATCGGAACAACAGACAAATGCAAAATTTAACTCAGATCACAATGCCTTGGACATCTAGGGTTGAATAATTGGTGAGATGTGATAGTTGTATACTTCTCTCAGACTGATCAAAATACAATAGTAAAGGGGATAGAATTGAACACCAGAACATGTTAGCTAGTATAAGTATTCAGCACAATTATCAAGCATTCATCAATGTATTTAAATAAAAAAATATGATTCCTTACATATTTCTAGAGCAATGACTTACAAGAGACATAAAATTAAAATACAGGATTGGAAATTACAACAATTATCATATTAACAGAGCAAAAAACACTTTGAAACAACCAATAATCCATATCAAATTAATATAAAATCACAGCCTTTCTGTAGGATTTGCAATAGAGTTGTCTACAGTGGAGAGAACAGGTCGGCCTCCTGTGTGCATACAACTAATCATCCTTTCTTTACCATGGCAACAGATGATAGAAATCAACACTTTCTACTTCATTAAGTACAGAGCAAGTCACCATTACTGACAAGATAGTCTTAACAGGTAGCTGCACAGTGATCTGTGTTGGTCATAAATTGGAAGGATGAACAAACTGTCAGACCTTCAAGTTGTCTAGATATGACAAATACATAAAATAAGCGGGCAACAACAGTAAACAGCACAGCATCACAATATCAAACCATTTGTCACATGCAGAGACTTACTGCTTTGCTGCTCCATCATGGTGAGGTCTGGTAAAATAGGAACTTTATATCTAGACTTTGTTATAACAACCTCACATCCTGTTTTTAAATCTTTCATTTAATATACCAACTGTTTACCACAAAAATAGACTACAGCTATATATTTTAAATAAATGAAAACAAATGATATTTCATTTTGGGGCTATACAATTATCCAAATGGAATGATGAAGCATATTGCAATGTCACCCTGAAACCTACCTTTTATCTTTTAACAGACTGTTAATAATGGCCTTGAGCACAATCTTTTGTATGTCTTGTGGCTGTAAAATAAAGATGTTCACTTAAAATGATTTCAAAATGTAAAATTCTCAATAATATGAATTTTGATTAACAATGTCTTCATTTATCTAGGGAAGGAGAATGATTTTGATTAGATATCAATCTTTATTCAGTTTGTTAATCTATCATTTATCTTATTGAATAAAGGTCTTCTACACTACACAGTTTATTTATTTCAATTCCCCCTTAAGAGAGAGATTTCATACATTTCCTTCTAAATGCACACATAAATATGGCATGAACTTACCAAATCCAGCAAGAAATCAAAAACAGTATTGACTAACTCTGTTTTTAATCCAGGATCATCTGTAGTCTTATATTCCTTGGATGGCTCTTTCTATCAAAATAATAATAATTATTATAATCTTCATTGGTGCAGACTGTACTTGCAGTGTAGACTATGACCTACCAGGACATACAGGTGACATAAATACAAGTAGTTCAGAGTACCTGTCACAATGAATTTTTTAACTTAAGGTTATTGACAGGGTTTATGATTATCCCAATACCAAAATTAAGGTTTTTCGTGCAGGTTATTATTCAGTAATGCATCTACCATTTTGCTAATTAAACACAATAAAAATCCCCTCAAAAATATAAAATATTCGCGTTTACATTTCTTGTTGCTAAGCATAAAAATTACTACCTTGGAGTGTTAATTGTCTGTTATGTAAACAGCTTTCTATTTTGATGTGACATAGCAATAAGTATGGGGCATAACTTCATCTCTGAACCAGATCTAATCATGAAAATTGGCATAGGTGACACCAAGTGTATGGACTTCAACATTTTGGCTTAAATCTTTTTTTCATGAAGTTTTGAGCTCATAATTACAATGCATCATTGAACAAAGGCATTATTTTGCCTTATAAATGAAAAAATCTGAGCTAAGGCTTTACCCTGTTTGTACCCTTAAAAGTTGTAACAATTTATATTGGAATATAAACAATATCATGGATTACAAACAGATATCATTTTCATTTGAAAACAGATATTCATTTTCACTCATTGTATCATCTTTCTATGAAATGAAAAACAATTGTTTTGTAGTGTTGGCTTTTTATTATCCAGAAAAATCAAAATACAGATTTCAGGTACTGAGTGAGTGAAACATCATCAAATTCACAGCAGTTGGGATAGAATTATCTTTTATCGGCCATATAAATGTAATTTAAAAAAGATATTGATCTAACTTGGGATCATTGATTTTTCTGGTGTGCGCCTTTTATATAAGATGTACCATGCAATCTTCCAATTTAGCTCTGTTAGCAGCTCATCTCTATCTGTCTTGGATGTGTGAATATCGCTCTGATAATCTCATATATAAATGGATGCCTGAATTGTTCTTTTAATACTAGCTAACAACACTTTTGTCAGGTAAAACCAATATGATACAATGTAACTGCTTTCCATAACATCACGGCACAATCATGAACTTGTTACTTCTGTATGCTACACTCACCTTGAATGCAGCATTGAGCTCTAGGAAAGAATCAAAGGTAGTTGCATAGAAATCTTGCACTTCTTTCCAATTTCCAGAAGCATGTGCTGCCTCTACTTCAGACCTGATAAAAGAATGGTTCAGAATGTTTTAATACCTGTCTTTGAAACTTTGTGACCAGCTGGCCTGTAATATTATTATCTGGGCTATGCAATGGAAACGTGTATGGATATGCAGGACTGTCTATAAAACAAACACCTCAAATAATTTTATTTGACAAATATATATTCTAAAGTATTATTAACTTTTTCTCATGGAATTATCCTTGTAGAGAGAACCATTACATATTATTTGCATTCAATTATCTTTCTTCAAAATAAAGTCTATATTTTGTAAGCCAAAATGTGACAATCACTTACTTCAACACTTCTGCTGTTTTTGTTCTTACTGGATAGACAACTTTCTGGGGAGAATTTTGATTGCGTTGGCTTGAGCGGCTCTGACACCCACTATCTTCAGATGTTTGTGGAGTCACAGTTAAACGTCCTTTACTATCGTGTGATATTGGTGGGAGAGAAGTACTGGTTGAACTTTGTTCATCAGACAAATCATTGTTTGATTTCTTTTTACTAGATCCCAGATTGTGGAAAAAATTAGCTATTGATTGAAATGCGCCTCCTGACTTTTCTTTTTCTTTTTCCTGAAAAAAATGCAAAATAATAATAATAATAATAATAACTTTCTGTTGGGCATAATATAATAAAATTATACGAATATTAACAAATTCACATATCTCTTACAGTAAATAAAAAAATACCCCCTACCTACTCCTCCTCCCCCCTTTTTTTTCCTGTCACTCTTTTTTTTAAGGGCTTTGTCAATTCTGTTTATCTAAACTGCTTTTCAGCCTTAATTTGTATTATGTAGATCAGCTAAAAGATCACAATAGTGAGGATTAATGTTTAATCCAACTTCCCCATTTCTTCAAACTGACTTCCAATGCCCTCATTTATTTACGCGCCATTGCTGATAAATAATTCACAGTGTCTTTGGTTTGCAACCACAGGCGATGTTTAATAATGTTACTTCAAATACGAGGTCAATCAATATCGTCATGCAGAAAGAACAACGTAAGAAAACTATGAATGCAATTTTGGATCAATAATGTTATGGATTTATTTTTACATCAGATACACCACACACATCATATCACTTATGTGTTCAATAGTAAACAAACACTTAAAAACAGTCCTTTTGTGTACAATTGTTTTGGTCCATAGTTATAGTCCTCCTTGGGAACAATCAATACTGTAAATGGACTGATTTGAAANTGAATATCGCTCTGATAATCTCATATATAAATGGATGCCTGAATTGTTCTTTTAATACTAGCTAACAACACTTTTGTCAGGTAAAACCAATATGATACAATGTAACTGCTTTCCATAACATCACGGCACAATCATGAACTTGTTACTTCTGTATGCTACACTCACCTTGAATGCAGCATTGAGCTCTAGGAAAGAATCAAAGGTAGTTGCATAGAAATCTTGCACTTCTTTCCAATTTCCAGAAGCATGTGCTGCCTCTACTTCAGACCTGATAAAAGAATGGTTCAGAATGTTTTAATACCTGTCTTTGAAACTTTGTGACCAGCTGGCCTGTAATATTATTATCTGGGCTATGCAATGGAAACGTGTATGGATATGCAGGACTGTCTATAAAACAAACACCTCAAATAATTTTATTTGACAAATATATATTCTAAAGTATTATTAACTTTTTCTCATGGAATTATCCTTGTAGAGAGAACCATTACATATTATTTGCATTCAATTATCTTTCTTCAAAATAAAGTCTATATTTTGTAAGCCAAAATGTGACAATCACTTACTTCAACACTTCTGCTGTTTTTGTTCTTACTGGATAGACAACTTTCTGGGGAGAATTTTGATTGCGTTGGCTTGAGCGGCTCTGACACCCACTATCTTCAGATGTTTGTGGAGTCACAGTTAAACGTCCTTTACTATCGTGTGATATTGGTGGGAGAGAAGTACTGGTTGAACTTTGTTCATCAGACAAATCATTGTTTGATTTCTTTTTACTAGATCCCAGATTGTGGAAAAAATTAGCTATTGATTGAAATGCGCCTCCTGACTTTTCTTTTTCTTTTTCCTGAAAAAAATGCAAAATAATAATAATAATAATAATAACTTTCTGTTGGGCATAATATAATAAAATTATACGAATATTAACAAATTCACATATCTCTTACAGTAAATAAAAAAATACCCCCTACCTACTCCTCCTCCCCCCTTTTTTTTCCTGTCACTCTTTTTTTTAAGGGCTTTGTCAATTCTGTTTATCTAAACTGCTTTTCAGCCTTAATTTGTATTATGTAGATCAGCTAAAAGATCACAATAGTGAGGATTAATGTTTAATCCAACTTCCCCATTTCTTCAAACTGACTTCCAATGCCCTCATTTATTTACGCGCCATTGCTGATAAATAATTCACAGTGTCTTTGGTTTGCAACCACAGGCGATGTTTAATAATGTTACTTCAAATACGAGGTCAATCAATATCGTCATGCAGAAAGAACAACGTAAGAAAACTATGAATGCAATTTTGGATCAATAATGTTATGGATTTATTTTTACATCAGATACACCACACACATCATATCACTTATGTGTTCAATAGTAAACAAACACTTAAAAACAGTCCTATTGTGTACAATTGTTTTGGTCCATAGTTATAGTCCTCCTTGGGAACAATCAATACTGTAAATGGACTGATTTGAAATCCAACAGACATATATCAGCTATATTTCTTATATTTGCAACTGTATTTTTTAAGTGATAATTTCTAAAAATTAGAACATTCCTATTGAACAGTATCAACAAAATTAAAAAGCAAGCTTCTCTATAGAAAAAGAAGCACATCTTGTGACATATGCTTAAATAATCTCCAGATCATGTCTCAGTTTAATAATAATAATATTTAATAAATATATATATATATTCAAAGCATCATTAAATATCTTTATGTGGTCCCACATGTCTCACACACACACACACACACACACACACACACACACACAATGAGTATGTCAATGAAACTTATGAGTTTTAAGTTTAGATATGTCTCAGGCTTATTTATTTTATTTTTTTTATTTGTATGTATATAAAAATATATGTTTCTGCACATCCAATGGGTAATAATAATGGGTTATCATTTTTGAAAATCTATCAAAATATTCCTGTGTTGGATTACAATGGGGTGCTTTCATGTGAAAAGGGATGGATTTGTCTTAGTATATCATATAATTTTGTTTCCATATATTGCTGGGTATTTTAAACTCTTATTCTTAGGCAAAAATTACACTCAAACAGTGCTTAAAACTGGGACACAGACATACCAGTCAGCTTTGCAGCTGTACATTATGGAAAGAAAGCTTTCAGAATAGTATTGTTGCATTTTTTGGTCACCTCAGGGATCATTTACACACTAGAGAAATACAAAAAGTGTACTTTGTTGGAAATGTTGATAGGTGTAGAAAACGGGTTATTGTGCATTACCATGGTTTCTGTTTTCAACTTCAGCACAAAGTATGATCTCCCATACACATGAACTATACAAATCATTCAACTATGGGATTTAAATACCTGAAATACACTCTGTTTTTCATAAAATAACAAGGTGTAAAGAAAACCTGTCATCAGAGCATGTAATCAGAGATATTATGACCCAATCCTGTTTCGATTTAAATACATGTTATTAGTCTGTCTTTCATGCATAAGTATACAGTATGTCATTTGGGTGTTTAAAAATACATAATGCATTTATGAACCCTTCAAAATACATACATACAAAATGCTTAAAGATTCATTCCCAATGAAAATATTGGTCTAGATAGATTGAGCCAACTAAACTTCGTTTGATGATATCAGTTTAAAAGATTAGCACGCCTCCTCCTGGCATTGAGTATAATACAGAAAAGCTATAGACCTGTTTATCTGTTTAACAATTAGCTAGAGTCGCCGCAGAGATGGTTCTATCTACGTTGGCCGATTGTTTCAATGGGAATAAACCCTAAAATCTGTTCAAATTTACTGGTGCTACCCCGAAAAAAAACCACAGCGTATTATATACCTACATTATCATCTCTAATAAGCTAGATGCTCATTATATCAAATCATTCTGTGGAAAATGCATTTGGAAGCCTTACATTTTTCTGTAATTCCGGTAATTTTTCTTCAGGGGGTTTCCTTCGACTTCGTAGTCGAGCATCAACGGCAGCCCGGGGATCGTAGAAATTCCCACAATTTGGGCAAATTGTCCGCCTTGTCCCGGGTTGCTGAGTTACAGAAGTGTTACAACTTTTGCAAGTTACGACAGTGACAGCCGATGATGCCTGACTGGCCATTTAAATAACTATAGCTATGGTTCCTACATTTTAAATTGAAAAACTACCCGATAATTCCGCCGGACACGGTATTCAGCTGACATTGACAGCCATGTTTGTATACAAAAGTAGTCTCACGTGGATCAATTCGAGTTGATTACTCCGCCAACTCGTACGCAAACTCGGGAGTTTATATGCAATGCTAAATTACATTTATTACCATGAAACACCTTAAATTTACAAATTAATATTACATATCTGCATTTTAGTACATTTTTATTGTATGAATAAAAGTGTCTTTTTAAATAAACATGCGTATTTTTTTCTTGCGGATTTAGGTCGCGAGTCAGATGTCAGATACAAAACTTCCGTTTCCAATCGCGCACTTCCTTTTCTATGGTGGCCCCAAAGTCCCGAAATATACAAAGAAAAGTATTCCGAAAAAAAAAAAACTTTAAAAAAAAGAGAGAAAGAAAAAAAAAGAAAAATCTAGTTTGTAAGAGTAAATTTATTTGATCAACTTTTTAATCGTAACCGTTAGCTATTTAGATCTAGATAAATTTAAATTCAACTTGTTGGCCTTTTGGCTTAAATTTAGGGCCTTCACAAATTCGTTTTAAAATGTAGACACACAAGAAGTGTGGTTTTATACCGATACCGGAGGAGAAAATAGAGGCCCAGCAGGAAAAGTCGTGGTAAAAAAGTCTTTCAATATTCAGATTTCAATTGGGCTTCAATCTAACATGTTTATAATTGATTAATTAATGAATTATCTTCATATCTGAATAATGCCGAGGAATTTTTCTTTTTAAAAGTAAAATATCAATTTACCCAATCACAGTGTTGACGTTTTGCGAAAAAAATTCGCCACATAATTGCCTACCTCAAATAATTTTTCTTTTATTACAGACAATGTCAAATTACTTTGTAAAGTAATTACGTACTTTACCTAGTAAAATTAACTTAACTGTCGATATTAAACGCGCTATTCATCAGCGATCCACGTCTGATGGCCTGACTATTTCCCGTGACATCCCCCCCCAAAAAAAAATAAATAAATAAATAAATAAATAAAAGGAAAAAACATAGAACTTGCATGTGCGTGTTCTTATAAGATCTCTTGAAAACGTCAAAATTATAGCTAGTGTTTTAAAATCCAGGTTTATATTTTTTCCTTCAAGTAATTAGTCTGTCTGTTTGTTTGTTTGTTTGTTTTTAAGTGACACCAAAGGTGAAATTTGCTTTTATTCTTCAACAGACATTAATTAAAGACTAATTTTAAACCTTTTAATTTCAGATTTTAGTTGAAAGGGGTACTAAATTATACCTTCTGTTATTAGGAGGTTCTAAAATAGTATACAAAATATTAAAGTATAGGCCTCTGTGGGAATTCACCCGATCAGTTTGTTTGCACTTATGTAACTACCCTGCCCCTGTACCTGCCCGCCCCTTAAACGTAGGCTCGGCAGCACAGGAGAATACAGACGAGGTTGGGTGTATTCTGGACATCTGGAGTAAGCTTGGGGCCATGCTTGACTTGCATTACGTAAAATAGGGTATGTCTGGCGAGGAATGTATTCCCAATGATCATCAAATCCCACTGTGTCCGACAATATAAATTTTTAAACAGACCACCAGTAGATCCTGTGGTCAGAGAGTAGGTACCAACACATGTCATATCCAATGGCGGATCTAGAGGGGGGTCAGGGGGATCCTGACCCCCCTTCGATTTCTGGTCCCCTCTTGAAATTAGAATTTTGACTAGCTGAATCACAGTTCTAAACCGTACCAAATGGCACCGTTCGCCCTTTCAAATACGACATTTTTGCGGGGCCTTCATCGGGCCCCGAATCCCACGCCAAGTGTGTGTGTGTGTGGGGGGGGGGGGGGGCGGCTTCGCATCTGCGGACCTCTTCAAATAATCCTGATATCAGTCCTTTCCTTCAAACAGCAGCCGTTTCGAGCGAACTAATTAATGCGTCTCATGAAGAAGCCTGGTGGTGAATAACCCCTACAACTGATATGTATAATTTCAACTAACTGATGTGTGCTTAGACTGAATTAAACGCATATTCAATATGTCTGAGTGTTATGTACCTTTACATATACATATGAGATGAATGTCCTAAACTTATATAATTTTGTACGCTTAATTCAAGCGTGGGCTCGAAATAGGACATTACGTTTTAGACTTATTTAGTGGATAACGCGATCGAAAGATTCCACGGTTCGTGTCAGATTTACGTGAGGTCGCGCAAAGAAAACCCAAGTCCACATAATGACCAGTTTAATGGTTTATTAGTTGACGCTCTCTAACTACATGTTCTACGTGAAGTCTCCAACTTCCAAGCCGTCTCCCATGGCTCTGTCGAGCGGTCACCTTCGAGTCTTCTTCAGTCTGCCCCCCGATATTAATTCTGAACGTCTTTTATACAATATTTCTTATCAGTGGATTCTGTGCTGCATTATTTGGCGGTACATACTAATTTTAATTATTCAAATTGCACACGTCCACTTAAGTTACATAATTACAGGTAAGGCCATAAAACAAGTCAATTGCACAAGCAAGCTACTCTAATCAAATTAATTAAAATGTCTGGGAATTATATTTGTGAACTCTACAGAGGATACGTCCATATTCAGAGCAAATTCAACACACGCAGGCTCCTTCCCTTCTTAGGCCTATAATTCACTTGATTACATATATAATGTCATTTTTGCATTCATTCTGAAAATCAAAATACAGCCGCATTCATTTATTTTACTCATTTATTCATGATATGTTCTTCCTTTAGTTTATTGAAACAGTCAGGTTATTTCCCCCATAGACATGTTGCTTTAGTTACATGTTGAAAAAAAACCTGATAAAATTGTGTCACGATTATCTGTAACAGCTTATGAATAATGCTAGATCTGAAGCGGGAGTGGAAAGTGAGAGCGGGACCCTACTTGTTTTACTGACGATAAATATTTTTTTATCATTGAATGCATCGAGCGCAACTTCAATTCTCAACTACCACAATTTCTGTAATGACGGCAGTAGATGGGTGCATCTGTAGTGTTTACTTCTGTCTCTAACCGGCTCGTGCTTAATCTGTTCATAGAAGGCCTTTTTTATCTGTTCTTGTCGTCTACTACAAATAGTTTTCAGTGTATCAGCTTCAGTGAATTAACGAAATCAAAACACAGAACAAAAAAAGCAGATGGTTATTCCTCCCACCACATTTCCAGTAATTTTACATGATTTAGGATTTGTATAGGCCCATCACCGGTATTTTGCTTGTAGACTATTGTTATTATTGTTCTCGCTTTTCCGGCAATAAATTCTAAGTGATTGGACAAGCGCCTCTTGTTTCCCAAGCCAAACTGACTTCTATTGCGTGTCTGTATGATACATTTTAGTGAGAATACAATTTTTATGGCGCTAGCTGGGTATTGCTGATTACTGCCGCTGCTCGAAAGTACGTATGAAGGGAGACACCGGTGTGACAGAAATGGTTGTCCTTGAGATGGAAGTCAGGGGTCAAATATGAGTAGTACAGGTTTGGGTTAGTCGGAAAATTGGGGTACCGGTACATGTAAGTATGTATATGGGACGAATGTCACCTGTACAAAGTAATGAAGAACAGACTGCGGTTCCCAGCAGACTACCATTCCTGTAACAACGGCCTCTTTATATGTACAAACACATCGTGTCTACATACATCCATCACCTGCATCTGTCGGCGTCGCCGTGCACTTTTAATCGTAAACAGTGGATTTTAGGAATAAAGTACAGCTTGAGGACGCAAACTGGCCAGATTGGATTCTTTATCTAAAAGTTGTGCCTTTTTTCTTTCTTCTTTTAATTTTTCATTATCATACATGGGCATTTTCAGTTTTTAACTTTGAACTCCCATGATCCTGAAACCCATTTCTGTAGGTCTAATTAAGAACTGGTAGTGATAAATGCTATTTTAAGAAAAAAGTAATAATGCATCAAAATTGACAAAATATATTTTGAAATGCCAACGTTAACACCATGAAAGGATAACCGTGTTACTTTTCATCCTCAAACTCAAATGATTATTAGGACTAAAAAAACAGCTCAATTTCGAAAATCAGCCTGAAGTTTTCATTTTCCCCACACTGACATATATTTTAAATGTGTCTGCGAACTCCCAAGGTCCTGTACTCCTGTACTAGTAACTTTTTCTGTGCATAATTAAAATTGTTGGTGAAATATTATGCTGATAAACATTATGTAATATTGCATAAACAGACAAAGACCCTATTTTGTGCACTTTCAACGTTTTTACATTTTATTTATTTATTTATCATTATTATTATTATTATTTTACATTTTGACAGTTCAGCTGCCTTGTTTTCACTGACCACTACTCCCAATTGTTAGCCAATTTAACAAATTTTATGTATGTTCCATAAAGGTTGTAGGAAGTTGGGTTTTCTACCACTTAAGAGCCATGAGTGCCAACCGGTATATGCTTAATTGACTCTAAGTAAAATTATGTGCTACGTATAAATGCTTTGAATTGAGTGGTGAAGAATCTTATAGGTGAATGTAGATATAGAAAACACAATATGCCAAGGATGATATCCAGGCCATACTCAAATACTATCATATTACTACTCAAATTTTAAATAGTTTGCTTTTTATTTATTTATTTATTTATTTATTTATTTATTTATTTATTTATTTATTTATATAGCACATAGTTGACGTAGGCAAAGTGAAATATATCCATATAGTTATGAAGAAAGCTACACAGAAAAAAAACGCAATAACATATCAGTTATACTAATTATATTTGCTTACCATAAGCCTCCCAAAGTATGGAAAAATATAGATCAAAATAAGCCAGTCTGATTACAAAGTATCAGTTATTAAGTATGAATTTTTTTATGTAGGAAAAAACAGCAAATGTGTCTGAACTGCCTTAAAGTTAACCGACACTGCATTATATACAAAATGCGACCATAAATGATAAATGGCACTAAACCAACGATGTGTATGACCGTTCCTTTTTAATTGGAAAGTACTTTTACAGGTTTGCACAGAAATGATGTTCGCTAATGAACATGCGTGGAGGCGGAAAAGTCAATCGGTAAGAAAAACTTCATGGATTAACACCGAACGGTTCTCCATTTATCAAATGTTTGCAGCTTTAGAATCTTCCTCAAAAAGAATCGGAAGTGGCATCCGCGAGAGGAGTTTTTATGTACCTGCCATTGATTGCCTACTGCACAATAGTATTTGCAGGGCACGGTGACACGCTCGAAGGTTGGTATTCTAGGAGCGTTTGATCGAAATATCAGGGCTGTTAAACATGTAACTAGGAAATGGACGCACATGGTTGTATCTTAAACATGGATATTAGCAGGCCCGCTGACGCTATATGTTAGTGATGCTATTAGCGCTGAGACATACCGTTGTTCCACCAACAACCTGTGATAAAAATTGGTTATGCCCTCAAGATTTTTGCTGCTACTCCTCGTGAGCATTTGTATTGTGGATTTTTACCATGGTGAGTTAGGAATACATAGTTCAATTATCAAACGCTTGATAAATTTAAGCTATTTTCATAGTAAAACCTTCGTCGATACAAATGAAGGCCTCTGTGCCTTTAACTTACTTACGATCATTTCGTCAAATTCATTGTCTACGTAAATTAGTATATTCAAACGGATACCATGATAGGTTTAATAATTTTTTTACGAATATAGCGTATAAAAATATTTTTAAAATATTGCATGGTATGTATGTGCGATATAAATGCTACAAATATATGTAAAACCACATTGTCTTCTTTGGTTGTTTTACAATATAATCTCTTTGACCATATTCTGATTAATCCAAATTTGGCTGTCAAATTTTTTTTTTTAATAATTCTTGATAAAAACATAACAAGGGTTGATGCAACCATGTCACACTAACAGTTTTTTTCCTTTAAATAATTCAATTAATTGGCACATCGTTTATCACAGGCAGTACGGATAGATTGCTGGCGCACGCAGTCGAGTCGGAGGGCAGCTCCAACCATGGCAGCCAAAGACACAAACGCAGTACTGGTATGTTTATAGTCCCTATCTCTGTTTCTCCGTCGTGTTGTACATGTGTAGTTTAAGATGGATATTTGCTCATATTATTCAAGAATGTCAGTATGAAAAGAGAATGACTAATAAGTCAGTAAGCTTTTTTGGTCCCAAAACCCTACTGTCAGTGAAATTTAGTACGTGCGTGTAAGACATGGTATTTTGGGCTATTTGGGAGGGTGGAAAGCTGGTTTCTCAATTTCAGTCTGTACTCTTTTTTACTCTTCTTTGGGTTCAGTGGTCCATATTGAGGTTTCTACACATTTTATTGTTCTGTGCATTTTTCATTAGAAGAGACAGATCTGCAAAGTAATGAAAATGACTGTACTTATTTTGACGGTATTGAGCATAAATGAAATCTAGAACTTGTAGAGATTCTGTTTGAAAATAGCAGGGTTCCTTATTCGTCCCCTGGATCTGTCTATGATTTAGGATTGCATCTGTTCACAGGTTGGACAGAGACCTCTGGAGTGAAACTAGACGACTCTGGTTCTATACTAGAACCAGACAATTCAAACACTGGCCTGAGTGATTGCAAAGCAAAATGCGAGCGGATCACTGAATGCGTAGCTATAAATCATAGGAGTACTGGAGGGAAGTGTGAAGCTTTGAGTGTGCAAACTGGAACTTTCGTAACCCCGAGTGGTCAACCCTGGAATTTCTACGCATTTGATCGCTCTGTCCTGCCATCATTGGAAGAGACAACAACAATAACGGAAGAGGCAACAACGACGACGGAAAAGACGACAACAACAACAACTGAAGAGACAACAACAACAACAACGCAAGAAATAACATCAGCGCCATTAGACGATACAACAACAACAACAACAAAGGAAGAGGCAACAACAACAACGCAAGAGTTAACAACAACGTCATTAGAAGAGACAAAAACAACGCAAGAAATAACAACAACGCCATTAGAAGAGACAACAACAACAACAACGGAAGAGACAACAGCAACGCATGAGATAACAACAATCCAAGTAGAGGAGACAACCACAAGGCAAGAGATAACAACAATATCATTAACAACAACAGCAACAACAACTACAGCTACATCGTTTGAAGACACAACTGCAACGCCAAAAGGTAAGTTTTGGTGTGTTTATGATCTTCAAGGCATGGAGTAGTTCTGAACCAAACTAAGCGGTTTCCAATGCAACCACTGGAGTTTTTAATTTGCTATTCAAAATTTCCAAAACTCACAGAATTAAAGACGGTTCTAAGGAAAAGAAAGCTGGGCTTCCCTTACTGATTTACCCATTGCAAGAACTAGCTACCCAAAATGTAAGTTTTGAAATTTGTTCCTTTCAGTTTGCAGCCAGCCGAAGAAAAAATCATACCTGTATGGCAGACTTTTAAGTGGTTCTTTTCCTGACAGCAAGCATAGCATTGGAATTACAACACACGTCACAAAGCTACAGTGTGCAATATTATGTGCCAGTAGGTTCGACTGTGAAGGTTTTACCTTCCGACCCGAAGGAGGGGCCTGTGTCCTGTTCGGTACCAAGTTAGTACATATTCCTCCGAGCGATATTGAAAGTGATGGGCAGAGCCAAAATGTGGTATATTTTGAAGAAAAAATGGGGGTTGCGACTAGAAAAGTAAGAATTTTATGGACATCAAACGTTGTTAATGTTCATTGATTCCATGAAATATCAGTTCAAAGTGTAATGTTCTCAGAGCATTTAGCGCACCTGCAGTGATGTATTAACTGTTCGCTTGGGCAGTTCACGTCCATAATGCCTTGAAATACATGTCCATATGTTATTGTGTTTCTTACTGACTTTTGAAAGACAAAATATCATAGAATGTCAAAAAAAGAGTCGAGTGTTATGAAAATGTTATAAATATCTTTAGAAAAAATTTTCATACCACAATCCTGTGATAGCTTGTTTTGCAATGATACGTATCGCACGAAGAAAACGTCCAGAAATTTGGTCTTTGATAACTTATTATGCGAAACATCACTTTATACTACTACATGATTCTGCTTCAGTGAATAACGGAATAACATTTCTTGATACTAAGGATATTAAGAAAAAATGTATGTGCTGAAGACGCAATATCATGAGGTAGTGTAATGTGAAATTTTGTTGAATTATGGTCTATAATATTTGAGAAACGAGACGTTTCCATTTATCCACCCAATATATGCTGTACGTGTGCGTATCAACTATTTCAAACCGAGCGTGGTATTTGAATTCGATGTAACGATATCTCATTTTGAGACGAACACAAGTCTGTCAACAACATGTAGTATGTTCGATAGCCGCAAAGGCAGTCTGGATACTGTATATTCAGATGAATCTATTGACGAGCACTGAGATCGGTGCCAATTTTGTATTAAACCTTCTTATAAGACATCACTTTTTACTAATAATTCCGTTAAATACACATCACGTAAAACTGTAAAACTGCTGCTACAAAAAAAGGTGTACGGTAAGCGTTTAGGTCTTTTTGATCTTCCAGATCTCGGGCTTGTTTTTACCAAAACCCTTAAATATTTCGACCTAGCTGGAATCAAAAATCCGAAAAGCTATCTTAGCCTTCTGTTTTGTGCATTGGTTTTATTTGGAAATTTTAACCTGATTTTTAGAGTGGATTTCCTGCGATCAAATGACCTCTTTTGTGTGCATAAGACCTATACATATATTGCCATTAGAGCGTGAAAAGTCCACTCTAGGAAATCAGGTTAGAAACAAATTACCAAACAAAACCAATGCACAAAGTATTCAGTATTAATACATTGCCACTTGTGTAGAACCAAATATCACCAACGTGCACCTTCATAAGCTGGGCATCACTGTCGAATCATAAACAGTAATATTTTATCAGACGAAACTGACATATGACATTGGCATAATGTTGACTAGACCCATTTGATACATACCACAGGGCCTATTAGACTTCATATGTCTATACATTTGTTCAGTTTATATTGATATTGGTGATAATGAATTGATATGATTCACGACTGAAAAACTTATATAAAAGCGTGGTATTATGTAACGCCTATGTTTTCTGTGTGCTTTATTAGCTAATTGTACAGGTGTTTTGATATAGATCAATAAAAAATGTAAACTGCTAGAACATCTATGACAGGTATACGTATGATGATAGATGGGTCGGAAGATCCTTTCGTGCGTTATTTTCTGTGTCTCTACCCGGGATGTTTAAGTGGTAAACTGAGGCAGGAATCCAAAGATGGCACGATCCGTTATATTTCGCACTGAGAACTTGATACCTTACACAAAGACAAATGTGCTTTAGTTCATTCTCTCTATTATATGACATTATACAGTTCAACACTCCTATAATCATTTAACAAGTACTTTTAGAAAAGTCTGTATTTGTATTTTGTTGTTTTTCCTCTAGGTCACTGACCATGACACACTTGAGTTTAACATTATAATCGTGGGAAAGTCCAGTGCTTTCAGCGTGCGATTTTTTGTGACGCAATACGCCTTTCTTACAAATCGACCATTTACACGCCGTACATTTTATATTGATATCTAATATTTACCAGTGTAATTGCCATTTCTGTGCCGCCCAACTTTGTTCCCTTTTTAGTGACTCAACACATAGAGATAATTATCGGTGAAGTAAATTTAATTATGCTTGGGAAAAAATCAATATTTTAATGCAAAGTTGGTGAATGTATTCCAAGACACTGGTTGATCTTTTAATCACGTTCTTGTGTTAAGATTGATTCCATTTTATTTATGAAGGGTTTCAAACAGCATAACCCACGTTCAAGTTTACCCTAGCGTAAGAAAATCAATTTTTTTCTGAGAGGCATTTATTTTATAAGTTTTAAGAACGTTGCACTGACAGCGCCTATTTACCACAGAATGTCAGGACACGTGCTTCATTACTATGCAAGGGATTGCCTGGGAATCTTTATTTGCGCTTATGTTGCCTGGAGTATGCTTTAAGGGTTATACATTGATAAAGACGGAGACAGGATCAACCACAACCTTTAGCTACTAGACAAATACAGAAATGAAAAAAAAAATGGTTCTAAATAAGCCAGAATCATAATTTCACAAACCATTATTATCAGTAGCTATTGGATAACCTCATTTTGTATTTACTAGGGTGGGAGGGTCGGACAGTACAGTGAGACTGATCACTTACTGGTTACCCGTCCCTTATAAAGGCCGTGCTGTGATATATATATATATATATATATATATATATATATATATATATATATAAGTAGAGCACAATCCAGATATAAACGGGCAATATTTGCCTCTAAAACCAGTTGTTGCTTAGTGAAATAACTTCCATGCGTTTTGTTGACACAAATTAAGGAAATGGGAAAAGTGCGAACCAATTTATCATATATTGGATGACACTTTGCGTATCAAATATTCTTTTAATTCCTTTCATAAATTATGACCGAGATCAGCAGATCGAGATCTTGTTTGCAGTAACTCATGACCCGAACAGAGAGGCCATATCTACCTGAAGCAAGCGTACACGTTTGGCAATGTGAGTTTCCCTGTCAGCCGCACCGCGAAACTCGATGGGTGTATGAATAAGTAACGGCTCGTGTTACCAGTGTTTTGAGCTCTTAACTGCACACATACATTTCTAACTAGGATAGCTTGCTGCAGAAGGAATGAACGTACCAGGACCTCAGGCTATATACCCTTTTGCTCGATTGATTTGTGTTCATTATAAAATATTTTTGACAATGTTGCGATTGACGAATATGTTTTAATTATCCTAGAACCAAAGTCCAAAATTAAACAAACATCTTCTATGATTTTTAGATAATATTAGATATAAACAAGAGGTTGGTACAATTTCCAGCTGCAAAATTGTTACATTCCTAAGAGTTTAGCTATAATTTCAGCTGTAATTTTTTGTTATAAAAGATATCAATTGATGATTTTTGAAGTCATGAACACTTAGCAAAAATAATAATAATAATAATAAATAAATAAATAAATAAATAAATAAATAAATAAATAAATAAATAAAAATAAAATGATGCATTAAATTAAGCATTTCAGGATAATTTTACAAATTTTTTGAGCTTTTTAAATGAAAAATTAGCCATTATTTTTGAGTGGCCCATATACTGATATGTTTACGATTGCGCTCTCTAGTTAGAACACATCTAACACACTGTTCATCGTATATGCAGGGTTAGAATGTTTAACGACCTCCCGCCGGTTCTTCCAACACCCTCATCATTTAAAGTTTGATTGCACCAGTGAACACGTTGATCCAATGTATGTCCGCTACATCTTGTTCATCAATTTAATGAACATAAGATCCCTTCAAAACGCCGGAGTGTGAATTGCCATCATCAAAGCAATGAAAAATCCTTATTTATACATCTTATTAATTTTCTAAAAAAAATTCGAAAAATTAGAAATACATTAAGTGTGTGTTATATATAAAGACCCGCACGTCAATGAGTAGATTTGAACTTTCTGGTTAATTTTGCACCACCTTTTTTGGCATTATAAATTGGTCGTCCCAGGATAAGCAGACATACAAAAATTACTCCAGAGACACCTAAAACATGATCCTATGAAATCCAGATAACCGCAAGTGCGAGAGACATTTTTTTCTGATACAAGCGACAAGGTAAATGCTAGTAAGTTATATGTGTCTGCTACTTGTACACTTGACATTTAATATGGAATATTTCAGTTTCAAAGGTATACCTAGGTAAATGCGTCATTAAAAAAAAAAATTAGATGTCATATAAGATATGTGAATGGAGGAGTGTGTAGTCAGGTGTGTCGCTGCCAATTAACTGATTACCATGTCAGTAGCACTGCGGCATTCCGTAATATGCAGTGGTTCTGTTCAAAAAGTATCCATATGCCGGAACTATTGCATTGAAGAATTTGAAATTTTGCATGCAAACGATTGGTAAACAAAGATAAGCAAAATTTTACGACATTGTTTTAATTAAAATCTGTGCCAAAATGGCGCTAAAAATACAAACACTGCCAGACAAATGACTGTGTCACACGGAACGGTCCGCACAGTTTTATAGAGTTATGCCCCGACTGGTGTACCTGCATAGAGGCCAAGCACAATGTATCGAAATCTTTCCACCAGGGTACAGGACTTGGTGTGCTGCAACAGAACAAAGATCACTCATTTCGTTCAGAATGAGGGGCAAATTGTCACTAGTACGCGCTTTTCAAGGCCCTTATGGAACACCAGACCGTTCTGACGTATCCGCGGAGGCTGAAAAATCGGAAAGATTATTTTTTGCCCTGTGAAATAGATGCCTTCTTATTATTCATTCACGTATTATGATTATGCTTGTGTGAATGTAAATATTCACTATACTCTGCAAACGGGTTTAATATGATAAGAAAACCCATTATAATCCAATGAAATTCACCCAATTAAATACTTTCATTCATGCGTTTATAATTAGTTTGGAATGTATGTTTCATATATATATATATATATATATATATATATATATATATATATATATATATATATATATATATATCAGCGGTGAAAATGCAAAGAAAAGAGCGACGTTAACACTCGCGTCCCTTTTTTCCACGTTGGCAATATTGCAAAGCTGGGAAGGAAACACTTGTCTTGAACAGAGTTCAAAGGAAAAGTGTTTCTAGATGCGTTAACAAAGTGTCTGGTACTCGTGTAACCTTCTATCGCACCTAAATTCCTGGAACAGCTGAAGAAAATGAAACCGACAAAGAACAACCTCAGTTAAAATTTTTCTCACACCTTTGAGGCAGTTTTGATTAATTCCTAAAGTTGGCGTAAATTTTCTGTACTCTTTCATCCAACAAAGAAAGCTCTAGTCAGCGTTCGAATAAGGCATCATCATCCACACCTCCCACTGCAGGTACTCAAGTTTTAACATACTGCATATTTACTTTTTAAAACGCTTTTTATCCTGCTCTGATTTATTCCCCTTATCCCTTTGGCAAATAAATCCAATCATACCACTGTCAAGGCAATTGCAAAAAAAGCACAACCTCATCTACTAGTCGACCTCGAAGATTGTTATTCAACTATAGCCTTGAACGAGCACTTATTCGTTCAGTTTTTTCAGGTAGTTGAAAACGTCGGGCTTGAAACACAGACGTAAGGGCACGAACCAACCTCATCAGGAATCCTATACACTATCAGTAAAGCAAGCACATGCATAGCTAATTACTGAGGTCTTACACATGGTTTTTATGGACATACACAATTTGTCTGGACGTAATACAGCCATCACCTGCGTGTGTAATGGCCGCCGTCGTCGTCGTGTTGCCTTAATAGTATACATTTAAAATATAATAGGCAAATAATAAAGTTATGTTGTAAACAAAAAATATGAAAGGTTAAAAAGAGGAGAAATGTAAGATAATTTAAATTTTGATAATTTAAAAGGGTTAGCCCGATATATTTGTTTTAAGCTCTTTTCTCGTCCGACCCACCTCTCAATAACTAATTTTTAAATGAACAATATGAAAAATAATCATATTTACCTTCCTTCAGAATGTTGTGCCGAAACATGAACCCCATTGAACATTTTATCATCATTCAGTCTTGGAAGCGATTTAGTTGCAGGCATAAGCGCACACACTTATGCATTTTAACGCCGTCTACTTCGAAAAACACGCCTGATCCTAACGAGAGAAGCATTTTTTCTCACTTAAAAGGAATTAACGAAACTTGATTCTGCGTCTGAGATTTTGTCACAGTCCACACAATTAACCCTGAGTTTCAAAGCAATGTTGGAATTCACCTCTATTCATTATCTTTAGCGTTTTTACTCCCAATACAGGGAAAGACAAGCATACGGTTGACATTTTATAATGTCATATTATCAGTTCCAAGTTTGTCGCATCTCATTTGTCAAAAGGTGAAAAAATCTATCAACCTTTAGATCCGAAAATTCTTAAAATTCACTGTAATGAGGTAAAGCAATTATGCAGAAAATTTAAAAATACATTATCAAGAATCTTTTTAAATGTTTAACCAAAATAAACCTGTAAATAAAATTTCAATTAAAAAAAAATAAAAACTTGATGACATGAAAAGAAACAAAAATAAATATAAAGCAAAGAACAAAGAACACACATTTTAATTGTTCCAAGAGAATGATTTGGATTCAGTTTAAATGTATATTGACAGCCCCTGTAACTGGGAAAAATATTCACATATATGATGTTTCCTTTGAAAGAACCAGTATAAATATCATTAAGAAAATGCCGAGTTACTATTACACGTCATCAGTTGTAGATGCAATACAAGCCGCAGAGGGCAAATAGTGCCTTACAGATGCTGTACAGTGAGGCAATATTACAGCTACGGCACGTTGGCTTATGTAAGGTACTTGCCATCAATAATATCTGATACATCCTTGGAAAGATAATCCCCCCCTCTGCACTTTGCGCTGCGCTAAACGGTTTGTCAGTCCTTATTAACGAAGACGAGAGATAGCGCCCAGTGCATCAGCATTTTCAAGAACTGTATCTTGATAGTTCCACGAACTACAGGGGAGAACCCAGCGGTTATTTTAAAATGAATTAATTTTAGCACATTTTGGATTTTAAGAATATGACTGCGGACTATATTTTTCCCCTTAACGTATTGAATGTATGGGTGGTTTTGATTTTGGGTGAAAGTTTTCCTACATTTTACGTCATTTTATGGAAAATATCTTTATCATTTTCTTGTCGAAACATTTTATGTGACTGACTAACAAATTTGGCTTTCCTTCAGCGGTTTGAATTGGTGCTTAAAGAAGGGTCTGTTTCATTGCATGTTACCTGAATGCTCCCTTTAAGTAGACAACAGGACGGTAATCAGCAAAAATGTCGTATAGGCCGTTCTCACTCCTGTTTATCATACTGTTTTCCATTCAGTATTCAGGTAAGTTTACTTTGTACTATATATTTTTAACAAGAAGGAAAATAAGTTTCGAAGCATACAGGCAAAGTTAAGCTATTCGCTCTATTCATTTTACGGTTAACCGTGTAAAGCATTTCTGCTCATTACATGGACACCACAGTAAAGTCATATATATATTAGCACGTTAGCCTGAGTCTTCTCCATCAAAGCTAATAATTATTCATATGGTAAGGGAAATAACCTTTTCGATATTATCCATACTATCAGGAACTCGTTTCTTCACTTAATAAGTCCTCATGTTTTAATCAACCCATGAACAAATTAAGAAATTTATCCACGATTTACCTCATTTTAGACATATCGACTTATACAAAGGCATTTTGCTCCAAAGATGAAGATATAGGGCTATAACGCTGTTTACGAAAATTAATGCAGCATAGGCGTATCATACATATTAATGATTTTTTTCTACCATTTAGTTCGTACATACTTTGAGCATCTATGTATCTGTGATAAGATCTCAGGGTATTTGTCTGACATGAAAGATTTTTCTCAGTTGGGGCACGAACTACCACAAGGTGATGTCAGAAGCTGGCGTGTCAAGGCTGATTTATGTGTATAACTCATATAACCCAAACAGAGCAGCGCATTAAAAGAAATGTAAAAGGCAGCTGGTGGATGTTTTAGTAGCTAATCACTACCCTCTACCAGGGCCACAGGTTGATTTTCACTAGATATTCACAGAAATGTCTTTGGCTAAGTCATGACATTTCTCTACTGTATAGAAAAAAAACAACACATGATTAAAAGTAACCAGACACAGATATATATATAGATATCTTGTGAAAAATAAATCTGTGGCGCTGGTAGATCTTGTTTTTGTTGATCCACTGGTATCCAGCATTAAGCTCAAACATTTCCGTAAATAAAAACGGCTTATTTGTATCCCATCAATGCACTGAATCCCAATAATCCACTGGAAATGTTAGTGATTCTGTTATCATACTGACTCGTTTGGCCAACGTCGGTAGTGCTCAGGGTACGTACCTGCGCGTTGACGATCATGTTGCTAAATCGTGAATTTAATCTTCTTCTAACATTTTGCAAACCGAGACCCATTCCGCCCGTGGGTTCTTTTAGTACCCTAGTTAAGGCTTGTTATCGGCCTTTTACCAGGCGGATTCTTTCCTGCTATTGGGATAGAAATGGAATTTATTGGAAGACGGAACGATATCACTGAAAAACTCCTTGACTGGACATCGGAATATTGTTCGTAATATTTCTGTCCAAGGTAATATACACGGTTAATATTATAATATTAGTGATCTGTTCACGGCATTTAGACGTGCATGTAAAACGTGTGTAAAATATGTGGTGGTTCTCCCATATTAAAGTTAATGTTTTAGACGTGATGAAAAAAAATCACTCATTAGGCCTACTATTTTTCAGAAAGAAAGTAAGAAAAGAAAAAAACTTTGGTGTAACCTCGTGTAAAGATGTGGTGTAAAGATGTAACCTCGGTAGGTAAATGTTTGTTGCTGATAACGTGAATGTTCCCACACCTGCACACTAATTAACACGTGCTATCGAAACAACACCTGGGAGGCATACCTGAGAGTCAACAAAATTACGATTCACATGGTTGTCACATGTTCATATAATATCTGCTCATTGACCTTTTCAAGATTTGTGCCCGTCTGAGTTTTTAAAACTTGCAGGTGGAAATCAGCCGAAGGAACCGTCCTAATTCCATGAAAAACATAACCTGTTTTATTTATTAACTTCTGGCTGTAGCTGAGATACTGGGATATTTATGCAGCGTTATACACTGTATCTATTATTTTTATATTGACTCATTCAGCAGAAGACAGACAGGCTTCCCAGCGAGATATATAGATATTAAGCTAGCAAAACAAAGAGAATGAAGAAAAAGTCCCAGAGAGAGGGAAGGAGCTAACAAACCCCCGGTTATTCACCTGTTGTCACAGATCCACCACCACCGCAAATGTCATACGCACAGCAATCTATCAGTTTTGTTAATATGTCTCAAGGTGTACCAGTAACGTGCTCAGGCAATGTCAATGTATTCTATTTGCAATGGGAAACACGCGCTTACGATAAATATATCAGGATTCTTGCATTGTGGTGAGTTAAATGGCGTGCATCTAATAAAAATTCAAATTGACTCCGAACAATTAACAGCGTCAATATCTGTCCTCTTGCCGTCACTGCTGACATCGCTGTTGCCATGCACTTTTATTTTGCGATTGCCCCATTGTTGCTGTCACTGTATTTTCTGTGAGGCAGCTCTGTTACAACTGTACTACAACGGATGCCAAATGAGATCATGAGAGTTTTACCAAAATGTCGAGATCGATTTTTAACGCCTCTTTGAGTTCTAATGTAACTTAGCTCTTTGCCATATAACCCTAAAATTTCCAGACGATACAGCTGCTAAAACCGATTTTTAGATATCTTTTTATTCTAACCTTTCGAGGAGCTTGAATAACGCCACGGTTCAATGATTTTCAATGAAGACCAGACTCTGTGGCTTGCAAAAGGGTAGATACGTTTTAACCACAACTAAGTGTGCAACTGAATTATTTAATAATTTCAGGGGCGTAACCAGGCATACGCACGGATGCACCGTGCGTACAATTTTTTTAGCCAACCATGATACTATTCTCCATAAATTCAGTGTATTTTCACGGAATATAATCGTACCTGGGAATTTTCAAAATCTGTGCGTACAATTTTAAAAGGTCTGGTTACGCCCCTGAATAATTATTATTAAAATGGCGTTTGTCAGATATGATATCCATCATGATTCGAAGCTTCACACAACTTATAACATTTTCCGAGTTTTTTTTTTCTTCTTCTTCTTTTTAACAATTTACTATTTGGACAATATTTTTCTAATAGAAGATGTATTTAAAATGTAATTGTGTGTGCATTTTTACATTAGACATTATAAAAACAATTAAATTATTCTCGCCGAATTATTATTTATTTATTTTTATAATTATTACTATCTTTATTTTTTAAGAGTACCCTTTTGGACAGGGTGCTCTCCAATCTCTGTATCCGCATGTAGTGTAAGTCTAATAACTAACGATGATAACTATGAATAACTCTGATACTGGAACTTACATTTAGCAACTGACCGATGTTGCGGTCTCAACCTGAAACATTTCACTAGGTAAATGAACGGATGGGCTGGTCACCTAATCTATTGTCACACGGCTAGGTATAGTCTCGAATAACCAACCCATCCAGGTCATTGACCTAATGAAAGGTTTCAGGTGGAGACTGCACATTCTTATTCTACTGGATGACTAACAACATTCACTCACTCTAGTGACTAACATACATATTTCTAGGCATTACCACCACATCAGACGCCAGACGACTCTATGATGACTTGTTTAACAAAGAACGCTATAATAAAATTGTGCGACCTGTCGACGGATCAAACGAATCACTTCAGGTCATGTTGGGTTTGAGTTTGATTCAGTTATTAGATGTGGTAAGTACACGTCTAACGTCTAGATTCATGCACACTCACCGTTACGTACATTGCAAATGGTTTACATTTGGATGAATAACAAATTACTGGGTATTTCTTTTCTGTTGCTTTAGAAGTTAATGGAAAGAAAAAAGGATAAAAGTCAAACGAGTGTTCTGGGATGTGTGTGCAGCATTGCCCAAAGCAAACTCAGAACGTTTTATAACGTTACCATAACGTTACCATAGATGTAACTTTTTTGGTTATATAAACGTTATGGAGCTACCCTTACCTGAGACCGTGCTAGCGACCGTATAAACGCAGACTAGAAATAGTACAGCTGACACATCACTGACTTACAAAACGACCGACAGGTCCTCTATCGAGATATTAGAAAATCAAAGCCATGTCCCTTATGAACTCTACGTTTTGTCCCGTGTTTTCTGACGTCAGTTTTACGTTTTACGGTCTTAGTTTCTCCGGTTTTATCACGGCCCAGGTGGACATAGGTCAAATATTTATTATATCGAGCTTTTTTTACAGGACGAAAAGAACCAGATAATTACAGTCAACGTTTTAGTCAACCATGTGAGTACAATTTGTAGGCAATCCGAAGCAGAAAGTGCGTGTTTTTTAAAGCTACTGAAAATGTGTAATGAATATTTAGAACGTAGCATATATCCATCTGCATGAATCTCAATCTACTTTCAATAACAATTCACCTGGCATTAACCTTTCAGATCTGGAGAGATGCCCACCTTGTCTGGGACCCCAAGAAATATGGCGGAATACGTGAACTTCCCATTCCTGTGACAGATATCTGGAAGCCAGACATTGTCCTCTACAACAAGTAAGGCCACACTTTTTTATTTTTATGGATGACATCCTCTGGGGACCCCGAAATCGGTGCGAGAGGGCNGTGTAAGTCTAATAACTAACGATGTTAACTATGAATAACTCTGATACTGGAACTTACATTTAGCAACTGACCGATGTTGCGGTCTCAACCTGAAACATTTCACTAGGTAAATGAACGGATGGGCTGGTCACCTAATCTATTGTCACACGGCTAGGTATAGTCTCGAATAACCAACCCATCCAGGTAATTGACCTAATGAAAGGTTTCAGGTGGAGACTGCACATTCTTATTCTACTGGATGACTAACAACATTCACTCACTCTAGTGACTAACATACATATTTCTAGGCATTACCACCACATCGGACGCCAGACGACTCTATGATGACTTGTTTAACAAAGAACGCTATAATAAAATTGTGCGACCTGTCGACGGATCAAACGAATCACTTCAGGTCATGTTGGGTTTGAGTTTGATTCAGTTATTAGATGTGGTAAGTACACGTCTAACGTCTAGATTCATGCACACTCACTGTTACGTACATTGCAAATGGTTTACATTTGGATGAATAACAAATTACTGGGTATTTCTTTTCTGTTGCTTTAGAAGTTAATGGAAAGAAAAAAGGATAAAAGTCAAACGAGTGTTCTGGGATGTGTGTGCAGCATTGCCCAAAGCAAACTCAGAACGTTTTATAACGTTACCATAACGTTACCATAGATGTAACTTTTTTGGTTATAAAAACGTTATGGAGCTACCCTTACCTGAGACCGTGCTAGCGACCGTATAAACGCAGACTAGAAATAGTACAGCTGACACATCACTGACTTACAAAACGACCGACAGGTCCTCTATCGAGATATCAGAAAATCAAAGCCATGTCCCTTATGAACTCTACGTTTTGTCCCGTGTTTTCTGACGTCAGTTTTACGTTTTACGGTCTTAGTTTCTCCGGTTTTATCACGGCCCAGGTGGACATAGGTCAAATATTTATTATATCGAGCTTTTTTTACAGGACGAAAAGAACCAGATAATTACAGTCAACGTTTTAGTCAACCATGTGAGTACAATTTGTAGGCAATCCGAAGCAGAAAGTGCGTGTTTTTTAAAGCTACTGAAAATGTGTAATGAATATTTAGAACGTAGCATTTATCCATCTGCATGAATCTCAATCTACTTTCAATAACAATTCACCTGGCATTAACCTTTCAGATCTGGAGAGATGCCCACCTTGTCTGGGACCCCAAGAAATATGGCGGAATACGTGAACTTCCCATTCCTGTGACAGATATCTGGAAGCCAGACATTGTCCTCTACAACAAGTAATATATATATGCTATTCATGTTTACAGTGTAGCTTGCACAATGTAATTTTGACTATCGAAATCTAATAAGATGATAAAAAAAATGCAAACTCGAACAGAATATCAGTAAAACGTTTGTTTTTTTTTTGTTTTTCGTTCTCAATGTCGACCCATTTTTGAAATTCGTTTCAGCGCTGACGGCAATTACCAAATAACTATTATGACCAAAGCCACAATGGACTGCAACGGGACTATTAAGTGGACGCCGCCAGCAATTTACAAGAGCTACTGTCCAATCAACGTGGAATTCTTCCCATTTGACGAACAGAACTGTCACCTCAAGTTCGGTTCCTGGACGTTTGATGGTGACAAAGTTAACCTGTTACACATGCAGTATCCGGGCACCGCGGATGACGTCATACTGGACGGTGCCATAGATCTTAGTCTCTATTCAAGGAGTGTTGAATGGGAGCTTATGGATGTGCCCGCCATGAGGAAGACAAAGTTCTACCCGTGCTGTGAAGAGCCCTATCCTACAATTACATACAATGTGACCATACGCAGAAAGACGCTTTTCTATGCAGTCAATCTCATCATACCCTGTGTATCAATTTCTTTTTTGACAGTTCTCACTTTCTACCTGCCATCACATAGTGGGGAGAAGATCACGTTGTGCATTTCTATATTGCTATCTCTGACAGTGTTTCTCTTACTTTTGGCCGATCTTGTCCCACCAACATCATTAGTTATTCCACTGATTGGCAAATACTTGTTATTCACAATGATTCTTGTATCACTGTCAATTATAGCAACTGTTATAGTGCTTAACATTCACTTTCGTGGGCCCTCCACACACAAAATGTCTCCATGGGCCAAAAAAGTTTTCCTCCAGATATTGCCAAAGATCCTTTTGATGCGGCGTCCAAAATCGGCCGTCCAGATAAAACAGGTTAAAGGTTTTGTTTTCGTAGTACTCACGTTTTCTAATATAGGTCTACACAATACTGACTTGACATGTAATAGCTTTCATAAATATCTCTAAACACCTTTTCGACATTTACCACTGTTTGCCTGACCGTTAGTTAGGTCTACGTAAGCTTTTAAGTGACAATTTAACAATTTCAGGGCAAGGAAAAAGATAAGTCACATGACAATCTGACTTCTCAGTATGGCACTTTGGGGCGAACCATGTCTGGGAGCGACCCGTTGAAACACAAGTGGGACGAGGAAGAGGAGGAGAGATATCCACGAGCAATTGAACGGGCACTGAAGTCCGTGCACTTCATTGCGGACCACATGAAGACCAGTGACAAAGATTCAAATGTAAAATGAATGTTAAAATTTTATTACTGGTGCGAATTTTGGACATGTTTCGATACCACTCTTCCCCCAATAGCTATATGTTCATGTAATTTATTGATTCAAAACATTCATCAAAATGCTTTTCAGAGCGATTAATGAATGTTATTTGTCGCGTTACAGAGCTCGCTGCTTATTTTGAAAAAAAAGTATATGGATAAAAAGTTTTAAACAGCAATCGCCTATTATGCCAAGAGGTGGATTAAAAAATGAAATGAGCAACTGTATACGAAAAATGCTTGAACTTTGCGACGTCTTTTATTCCAACTTCCATTAATTTTTTATATTTTTCTTTGATTATCTTACAGATAAAGGATGATTGGAAATACGTTGCGATGGTCCTAGACCGGTTGTTTCTGTGGATCTTCACCTTGGCTTGCGTGGCTGGCAGCATTGGCATCATACTACAAGCGCCAACTCTGTACGACGGAAGGACACCAATTTCACTGCCGCCATCCGAAGTGTAACGTTGACTGGCGTATTTGTATTTCATGTAGAAACACGTCCTTACAATAAGACTTCTACTCGTGAAAACTAAAAGACCAAAATTAGACTGAAAGTTTGCATGTTATTCTCAAATAGCAAATAAGGAACAATGTACCCTCTCCTACAGTGCTTAAACTTAATAGCAGTGAGCTTCTTTTCAACCGATTTCATACTTCCCGTTGTTGCAAGAGACAAGGTCAATAAAGATGTAATTTAGGCATGGGTATATACAGCATGTATGTTACAAATATATTTACTTTAGAGATATATGCATCCAGTTAGACATACACATAAGCATCGTCTTTTTATCTAAATCCCAACGTTGTATATATTGTTAATTTTAAGTTTCACCTTTGATAAGACAACGATATTTTCATGATATCAGCTGTAAGCTTTTTCAATGAAATAAAAAAGGTTTTTACCCCAGTTGTTTTGCAACATTTGCAACAGCGCTTTTGTAAGGTCTCTGTACCTGCAAATCAAATCGTTAATCGTGTAAAATGCTGTAGAAATGTTACCAGATAGCATTAAACAACAGTGCTCGCCTTTTCACCAAATACATTGTACAAATAGTGCGTGAAAATAGATTTGTGGAAATATTTGCTGATGTAGGCGGGATAAGTCATATGGGTTCTTGACAGTCGTGGTCTCTTCAGTTATAATCTCCATATTCTGTGACGTTCACATTGTTGTTTCGTCTTGCTGGATTAGCAAACGAACTGGGTAGTTGGTAATAATATTGGTGTGGGTAGTGTTCTTTTGATTGCATTTCTAAACCAGAAACTTGCCAGGAATGTTCGGGACTGGTGGCCATTTTCGGTACGTGCATTAACAATGACAGAGATGGGGATGGTCGCGCGACGCTTGCGTTCTGGTTTGGTAGTCTGCTCTGTGTGACAGATGTCTTGGTTCTGCGGACGGCACTGCGACGAGAGTGCAAATCAACTGAACAAACTCGCACACCGTGCACACGGAAACTCCAATGTAAAACCCTGCAAGGCCACCGATACTGCTCACCAAATAGGACGCCTGGGCATGAAAATGCATAAATAGCAGAATACTTTTACTTTTCATTCATCTTATTTATATAGAAATACATTCTAAAATGTTTTCAGTAAGAACCTTTTTCATATGACTTACGAGTATAATGATTTACAAATGAATATACAGAAACGATATTTCACGTAGTTATTTTGTGTTACTTACTCCCTGAGCTTCGATTTCCTCCACGTTTTCATAGTTGAGTTGTTGGAAGAAAACGTCCAAGCGCAACAAGTTTTTCCTTAAAAATTCATACACTTATCCTCAGGAGATTTTTTTTCACAAGAATATCAAACATAAAGTGGTAAATTGTCTATACATTGTGTTAAACTGACTTTTAAAACTTTTTACCTTTTGGTAGAGTATTAACCTAGTTAAAGAAGTGAAATGAATATATCCAGTTTTTAACTAGCAATTAAATGGAAAATTAAATTGTGACCATCAAACTACGTACTGCACATAGGAAGAGTCCATACTGGCCATGTCAGTGCCCCTCTCTGCATAGATTGTCGTCATCTGATCTCTCTGAAATGGTAGCAGCAAGAATACACTGTCTGTTTTTGAAAGTAAAGAAATATGTCTGTTTGCATTGTATCCTGTTTTAATAAAATATGAAAGACTGAAACGTCAATACACTTTAAATTTGTGTAAAATTAGTATATTACAGCTCACTCATGTAAAATGCACCCACGTTCACCATTAACATTCATTCATGTGGTCTGACGCTCTTGGCGCAGCTTAATTACCAGATATTGGTTTGACGGCCACGAGGACGATGATATTGTCAGCTCGTAGTTTCTGTCTCTGGAAGAAAGGGTAGAATCTTTCATCCATAACATGTATTACAATGAAATATTACTACATATATTAGGTGGGTGTACTCAAATAGTTTACCACTTTATATGTGGTTTAATTTCCAGCTGCCCCTCATACTTACAGGCACAACTGGCGACATAGCAGGGATGTATCCAAGGATTCCATTTCTCGATAAGCATCACTGACGCATTGTGCTGCAAAACATAAACGAATCAGCCCACCTTTATTAAAAAAATTATTTCCCAATAATTCAACGGAAGACTTTTAAAATTAACTGTCATCTCTTTAATCCAAAATTCTTTTTCACATGAAAAAATATATATGCATTCATATTTTATGCCCGTATATTTTATGCCCGTAATATATTGCAATCTTGTATCACTAATGCAATGCTAATATTTACCTATTGTCATGTTGTTGGCTGAATCACATATGGCCGAGTCGTTTGCCAATATTGGAAATGAGGCATAAGAACATTTACATTTAGCACTGATTCTATCTTGTGTCAAAGATTTAACGCATGCCTAAAATAGATACAAACTGAAAATGTAACTATAGTTTGAAGTTTTATAAATTTCAAAAGAAAAAAATTTACGTTCTTGTCTTCTTTGATGAAAATTCCATTGTCCGTGTACTTTTTCATATATTTCTTTAATATTTCCCATATTTCTGACTTCACGCGTGACTATCAAATAAGAGTGTCTGCACGGTCGACGGCACTGTATACTGGTGGTAATTAATTGCCTTCTTTCAAAGAAAAAAGTGAAGGAGTTACCAAATTTTGCCTTATAAAATGTCGACCAATTAAACATTTTAGATTAAATGAAACGGCCACACGATGGTCAACCTGTACAGAATATCTGTGATGCATTTTATCAGTGGTGCTATATCGAGTTCGCAGGCCTCGTGTACAGTTGCTTTTATACGGGTGCTCCAACCTTGTGATGTTCACCTGTAATATAATGTATTGACATATAAACTAAGGCCAGCGTGTAGTTCCATTAAACACATTACGAACAACGTAAACATTTGTGGGCTAGGTTTTCTCAGTTTTAACCTAAACCATTATGAAAAATGAATGATATTTTATTTTCCAAATTTCACATCTTATGCCTCATTTAATCTACTCTGTGGCCACAGGGTGCGCCAGTAGTCTGTTACAAAAGTGTTGAACACAGTAAGATTTTGTTTACTATTTTAGGGTCCCCAGATGTCAGAGGATACATTAAATCTAAGTCCAAGGCAACGCAGCAAACGGACTGGTATAAAAGGACTGGTGACAGAAAACAAACAAATAAGAACTGTTGTCCCATCTTTTCACGTTTGTATCCCTGAAATCAGTCCGAGACAAATCAGTTTGATTAGCTGTGCAATCAGTAGAATTTTGGCAGATTTTTCTTTGAAGTCCGCTTTATGAGTGTGGTTACATGAGTAGCGCGTCATCTGAATATCATTGTATGTGCAGCTGAGGATACAAAGACAGTGATTTTTGAAACGCGTTATTACGCTATTACAAATGAAGTAATAACAGAAAATAAATATAATAAAATATAATATCCAAATTTAAAATATCACAGGAATGGGAAGATTAATAAATCACTGGGGAAAAAATAAACAATCGAAATAATCATTTGACATATTTTTTATATTTCAATTTTCAATAAAAGGAATAGGCCTAATAGGTAAAAAAAAAAAAAAAAAAAAAAAAAACTAACCAAACGCATGCCAGCTGATGTGGCGAAGCCTGGCGAGACGGTGAACCCCTCGTCTTCTGGGAAAGGTACGACAGACTGGCTGTGGATCAGTACCCGCAGGCCTGCCTCGTGTGTCAACCCGCCAACGTACTCGTCCTGCTGGATATCCACGGCTAAAGATAGGCCTATAGTTCCAGATTAAGCACATATGAGATAATCATATTGGAATAAAATATCTGTAGCTCTTTTTTTGAAGAAATTATAAGTTTGGGAAATATCTGTTTGATTATCAAAACCACTACATGCAAAGTACGAATCAGAGCAGTAAATTTTCATTATCTGTACTTGGAATACCTAACTAAGTAGACTGGTACAAGTAATAATACAGGCGTACACAGGCACATTACAGTGTATCTACATGTATACTGTATATGAAAAAATTGATGTCTCACCAGACAGCGGTCCTGGTCTAAATGACGTCTGTAAAGGATGTTTCGGTAGACCTGAATTGAATGTATAGCAACTACCATACTTGTAGTTGAAGAATCTGGTGAAGTTTCTGGAAAAATTTACAAACAAAAATAATTTTTAAAAAGTGTAATGGATAGTTAATAAAACATAAGACAAAAAGGCATTAAATATGAACACGAAAATAAATGCGCGAAAATGCCTGTGGGAATTTAAACTTTTTAATGGTTGCATTAAATAGCTAATTTTCTTTATTTCTTTCCTTCTCTCGTTGCTTTTGTATGACTTGCCTGGGTGAACACTCCTTTCCATTAAAGGAACATTCGTACAACATTTCGTCCATTTTATGGCCAAGGAACGTTTTGAGATCATCAGACATATTTGCGTAAATCTGTTGGAATATCTCGGTAGTTTTTACTTTGGGTGCTTGTCCGTCATAAAACTGTGCCGATTCTATTTTATGCTGCCAGAAACTCTCTATGTCGGTAAAGTTCGAGTTAGAGGAAGAGTTGGCGCCTCTTTTGTCACGCACTTGCTGCGAACCCGACGGGGATCCAGTTGCTCCTGGCCCAGGACCTTGGTTACTCATACCATCTGCATTACCTAGGGGCGATGGACCATTTCCAGACGGACTATTTGGAGCAACGGACGGTTTAGGACCTAGAGAAGAATCTGCCGATTTGGGTGGTGCAGCGGCCGGCGGTCTTTTCTGGGTATGCAGTTCGTTCACGGCCGCTGGCATAAGTCTGATAGGCCACTTGCTTGAAAATAGGGGATCCATGCGACTGGCGTAAATCTCGTCGTTCAGAGCGTCTATTACCTTGGACACACGTATCGGGTTGAGGTTACAAATAGTGACCGCAGGAAACGTTACTTCCTTTCCGTATTCCATTCGGATATCAACGTTATAGGGATATTGATAGAAAATGATCAAAATATCGACGCACTGAACGATGAATCCAGCAAGAGAACCTAGGAAAGCTAAAATCCAGAAAATTTTCCAGTATAGAGATGGAGAGCGTTTGATGAATCCCAACCCATGGGTCGTAGTGTTTTCTGAAAATTCTTCTGCGATTTCTTTCGCGCTTTTGGTCATTTTAGTAAATTTTGTTGACTACTTATTTCTGTGGCTTTAAAAGCGGAATGTCTATAGTCTATAGTGTTAAGACAGAAAATCAACCACCTATAAACAAAATAGCTGCGAGACTACACATTCTGCGCAGACAATCACGGTAACTGAGTTCCCTGCGATAATTCAGCTGCAAACAATGTACACATGATTAACATCACAAAACCATTAAAGGCATATTGTGGCCATTAGATCCGCATATAGAAAAATCCTGGAGACTTAAATACATTTTCATTCAATCGCCAAGCTGTACAAAATGTAGAGATGGCAGCAGGTGCAACAACTCTACATTTCAAGCAGTGTAGGCCCAGTCTGTTTTTTAATCACTGTTATACTTCGGATGTGTAGGGCCTATATGTAATGTAGCCTACTGATATATTCTCGACCAAAAAGGTCCGGAAACATCGTTAATTTGAATAATCATAAAGTGGCCATATCAGATAACTTGAGTTAAAGGTAGGCCTAAATATTTTAACCAAATAGCCTATCGATGGATAATGCACATATCATTCGTTCTTTTTTTTTTATGCACTGAAGATTTTCCCACTACATTAAATAGTTTTTCATTATTAAAAAAATTCACGTTCCCAAACTTTTTGGGGTAGGGTTGAGTGTATTTCAACAATATCGTATCTATGGGGTCCAGTATTGCCAAATTGACATGTACACTGTATGGTAGGCCTACTGTTTTTCATGGTAGGCCTACAAGTAACGATCGAGCAGACGACTATACTTGAAAAACTCTCAAGTAATAATTCAATCAGCCTAGATTGACAACACGAGCTGTATTCTAGTCATTTAAGAAGTCAAAACTGATCATCTAAGATTATCTATATGAAAACAATACAAGAAAGCCAAGGCAGAGGGATTGATTAGTGCATTTACGTGCACAACCACTTACAATCTCATCTGATGCATTTTAAACAAAATATATCCCACCGTGCATTTCGTTAGATAATTGTTGCACTTCCGGCAAATGCAGACAGCGTGACCTGCCCAAACAAGACGTCAACAGTGGTATATATGCACCAGGGAAATGAAAAGTAAACATTTTGTCATAAAATGACACAGTGGATAACATAGGCGTGACCAGGTGAGTCACCTGTTGACCTTTGAAGGGCTTATCTTGCAGCGTGGTGGTGCAACAACATGAAAACTACACTTCCCTTTTGATTCAGGTTGAAATGGCGTGAAACAACTAAATTTGGAACCGATTCAAAAACCGCGTGTCGGATGCCGCAGTCAGTTTACGTCATAAGTGTACTTACCTTGTTCAAAACAAAGGATCAGGTTGATTCACTGTTTATTTTCAAGTACAAAGACAGTGACACATTTATTTTTGTCTACGCAATCTCAAAGAGTTAGTCCGTCATTAGTTCAGCTTCGTACATTGTAATTGATATTACTTTTTATAAGTATTGTTTTGGATTAAGATTACTTGTCTGACGAAAAAAAGGTGTAGGATTCATTTCAAGAGATACAGAAATTTACACAGAATGGGTTAGTTCGCTTACAGTAGCGTTAACAGCAATTACAAGGTAAATGAATGGCTAGAATGGGTCTGTTTCATTAACGTCCACAAACGGCCACAAGCAAAAATGGTTGGGGTATATATTTGGCATAAGAAAGAATTTTAAGTTGTTAGACAGCTTATAATGTGACAGTCCTAATATATAGGCCTACTCATCAATAACAGTGAGAATGTGGTTGTGTCTACAGGTGTCGTTGAATGTACACAAGAACAAATTGGAAGTAGCCAACAGATATTGAATCCTCATGGTTTTCAAAATACTCGGGTAGGTATGTTTTGTATGTATTTTATAATAATACTTGCTAAATTCACATTTTTGTTACAACAATGCAATCATCTGTGAACATGTAAAATGTTGTTTTTGGATCTTCGCTCTGCCAACAGGGAAGCATGCATGCTTCTGTTTTATAGGAATATCCACACGTAAGACAGGCTTAAATAGGTCCAATTTTAAAAGCTTTTGTCTTGTTTATTTCTTTAATCGTCATGTTACTGTGAGCTTTCATAGGCATAATATTTATTTTTTAGCTGATATCCTATTTGATGTTAAACTGTTGGCCTTCCTACTGTTATATGCCGGTAGACGTTTGTGGATGCTTGTTGGACACAACTGTCCTCTCTGTTATCGTTCAGTAGACATATATATTTAGAACAGTGTTTTCCAACTTTAAATACCTACTTATGTCAAACACACGCACACACACACACACACACACACACACACACACTTAACTGATTTTCCATTGCAACCACTTTATGCTGGTGGACATTTGTGGTTGTTTGTGGTCATTAATTCTACAGATTGGGCTAGAACAGTCCATTACAATTCAGTTTATCAGAGATAACGTTAATATGATACAGTTGTTAATATAACAAAATTTCATGTTTGAAATGATAAGAACTTTGATTTAAATTTCTTGTCATTTAAAACTGTACACATTTGTACAGAATTTGAAGATAAAGTTGTTCTGTTTGGCCGGCCCTTTAAGTTCTTTAATTTATAAATATTGATCTTTAATGAGTGTCATTTGGTGCTAGAAATTGTATTTTTTGGTTACTAAAGACAATTAAACATGTATGGCTTTATTCCATGAAAGTACTAGTAGACACTTGGGTAATAATATATATGTTGTGTTCATAGAAAATGTGGTCCCATAAAGCTTTATATTTATCCATATTCAGCTTTTGATATAGACAAGTTTTACATTTTCAATTTAATTTCTTAAAGTTTGTTGGTTATTTATAGTGTTTTTCCTTTGTAGAGCAAGTGTCATAAACATGTTTTTAATCAGATATTTATATCCCATTAGTAATATTAGTCCTTCCTGAAACGTATGGTTAGATAAGGGTTGACTTGGGGGAAATTTAAACAATCATGGATTTAAAATATGAAATGTCACTCATTACCGATTATGATTAATTTCTTGGCCAGGCTCGACTAAATTGATAAGTTGGTAAATAAGGGTGAATGACCCTGATTTTGAGCGCTGGTACACATGGTTTAAGTCTCATCCCATCTCATACAGCTTCAACTGACTCCTGTGGTTCTGTCGGCTCAGCATCATATCAGCAGGTACAAGTACCAGTGCTCCTCCTAGCCTACAAGGGCCTGTACCCCCATCTCTTAGATTAGGCCACATACAATCAACTTGATCCCCCTAGATTTTGGACTGCGGGGTGCATTGACCCAACAGAGACAGAGACCCAACATAAGTTAACCAACTTTTGCTGATTTAATAAACCTTTTCAACTTCAGTTTTCTGTTTTCTTTCAGAAAAAATATTAAGATTACCAGGAAAAGTACATAAGCTGAATAACGAAACAAGGAACTAAGCCCAGTAAATATATGGAGAAGAAATGATAGAAATTGTGTCCAAGTGAAACATACATTCCAATATAATCTCACACTAATACTTGATGATGGCATCAGCAGGAGGAAGCTCTGGACCCGGTGGAGAGGGGGGACCATTTAAAAGGTTTCCGCCACCACCATCTCCAAAATTTGTGCCTAGAACTGACAATGAAGAACCGCTCACTCCCGACACAGAGGATCATGTGCAGGAACAGACTGAAGGGATTTTCAAAAATTTTATTTATCAGAGACTTCAGGATGATCAAATGAAAAATCCGGGTGATTTAGAGACACCATTTGTGCCTGAATTGACAAACTTTCACGATGCTCCTCTCAGGTATGTATGAAGACTGACATAGGAAGAATTTCCATGGAAGTATAATAATAATTGTGGAATACTTGATAACTACTACTTTCAGTATTTAAATTGCACTGTTGTTGTATTGTATTGTATGTTTGATTATAACAAGGTTGTTGTTGTTGTTGTTGTTATGCCTGTGTGTGTGTGCGTGTGTGTGTGTGTTTGCTTTATGATAAGAATTCACCATGTTACAAATTTCATCAAAAGTTTTTTGTCATTTCATGCAACAACTTTACAGTTGTAACTTGTATCTTTATCTGGGGAAAAATAATTTCTTCCAAGCAGTTGAACAAAAATGCTACTGTTGATAACCATGATGAGATAAGCCTTATCCCTCCCACTTTTGTCCTACTGTTATTTTGCACTTCTATGAAACTACTGGGTACAGGGGTAAAATCAGAATATACACACCATTTCTAATAGTATGAGTCACATTCGTTTACCACAAGCTAACATAAGTTCATGACACTTCACACAGATACATCGGATGAACAAACAAACGGCATATCTGATAAGCCACATACACCATAGAGGTAAATAAACAGCAATGTAGCACATTCATTTTGATGTCTTGATAATCGAACTCTAGATGTAAATATAGATATCAGTAGACCTAAAATATTGGTTATTGAAATAAAAATTCACAAAACTCCAAATTACTGTAACACCATTAGGTCATTTGGAGTTTTGTGATTATTTCTTGTTGTTCATAACTCTGCTAATTGGCAAGTGGAGGAGGAGACAGAATTGTGGGAAAAATTTAAAGTATTTAGTATGCACTATGGCTCAGGTACTGTAAGCGGTTAAAGCTGAAATTTGCATGTGTCACTAGTCTAGTGTGCATATGACTTGGCAGCCCTGTATTAGTAATCATAGACCCCATTTCCAGAGATTTGATCGATCTACTTTAGATCAACCTTACTCCCTGGGGGTTCACGCTAAATAGCTGTCAGCCGAGCGGACACGAAAGTTAATTACCCCCTTACAGCTTGTAGTAGGCAGGACGGACATTTAAGCCGGATTATCTGACAGTAATCTAGTGAGACTCCCCGCGGGGATAGATCGATCTAAAAGCTCTGGGAATACAGCCTTAAAGATGTTATACCTGGTTTATATTGCAAATGTGTGTTATGCATTAGACTTCTGGGGCTTGCAGGTGGAACAAAAGTTAATTGACGTTGGATTCACTGACATGTGTTTCTGTCATAAACAGACATGCTTTGGTCACAGATCAGGTTGAATTTGTGTTTTGCAGCATCATTTTGTATTATAATTTTAGTATGTGCTGTTAACCTTCAGGCTTATTGGCCATTCAGACCACCACTTTCCTAATTATAAAATCTACTGGTCCAAATTGGAATTCAGTGGTCCAATAAAATAATTCAATGTAACTAGACATTTTCCTATTGCATTAATATTAGTAATTACAAGACCTTTATTTTGTCAAATGTATATAGAATCAACAGAATATAACAGTTACACTTAAGAAGAAAAAATCAAAGCTCCTTTGAGAACCTGTAGGGAAAAAAAAGAATGACCATATTAGACCACTAAATGCACACATTCTGAAAAATCTACAGGTCATAATAAAATTTAACTGGTGTGGGCACAGACCAGTGGCTAACTGTAATAATTGCAGACAGCAATTTATAACATTTTTGTTAATTTCACTTACAAAAAGCCCAATGAAATTCAAGCTTTTAATTTTAAATTGAAAAACAAAAGTATCTATTATGAAATGGAAGAAAGCATGAAAGTTGTTCAAATGATTGTAGTAAACACAGAAAATATCCAACCTAGAATTATTATCAAATCAAGTCTAAATGGATACTCAAAGAGTAGAAGCAACTTACTCTATGGTGTCATGCCAGGAGCTTTTGGGCAAGGGTGGGGGTGAGGAGGGCTTTCAGAAAGTGCATAACACAGGTGGTGAACCACAGCTATGTGACACACTGGAAACTGAAGCACACCTTTACAGGTAATCAGGTCTATTTTTACTAAATTGAAACTACATTTGGTCTTTTTCAGTGCCAATGCACAGATAGGCAGGCGGCTAGCACTTATAGGAGACGACATCAATAGGAAATATGAACATGAGTTCAGAGACATGATACAGGCGCTCAGGATCACTCCAGACACAGCTTATGAAGCATTTGCAGGTGTGGCCAGAAAGTAAGTAATGCGTTTTTCAGGGCAAGGTTGGTGAGAATGTCTTGAGTTTGAATTTGTGCCATGCATGCAGTGAAACTTGTCCTTTTACTCACTTATCACACAACTAAAAAGTACATGCAAATAAGATTTTGCTGATGAAAAATGAAATTTTAACCAAATCGACAACAGTTCCAAGGCATAGATATAGGTAAAAGATAGTGTAAAAGAAAAAAAAAAAATGATTACTTCTTGGGAGGTTGAGAAAAAGCACCAATTGTAATGTCTGTATTTTCAATCAGTTTAAGTCATCATAACCCAGGGGTCATTGGCAAAGAAAGAAAACCCACATGGTGTCTATCAGTGCTCTGTATTAGAGAGACCAAATTACTGTTAAAGTAATTGGTTTTGATGCAGTGATTACATTTGAGGACCCCCCCCCCAAAAAAAAAAAAAATGAATTTATAATAATAATAATTATAATAATAATAAAAGTAAAAAGCAATTGTGGTCAGTGTAAAATTTAGTCTCCCAAACCTAAGAAACAAAATTTTTAATTGTAAACAGACAGCAGTAATAGAAAAGAATTACATTTCCGAAGCTAACTGCATTAATACTAGTTTTTTATGTACAGACACAGATGTGTCTGTACATATTGCCATCACCTGCGTCTGTCGTCGCCGTCGCCGTCGCCGATCATGTCGCCGTCGCTGTCGCCGTCGCCGTGCACTTTCAGCGTTAACACCATAAGTGGAAGACAGTTTTACTTTTTGGCTTTATATTTACAGAGCTGACTAATATTCATAAAACGCAGGTCAAGTTCGAAAATCAGCATGATCGGGCCATTATTGTAGAATTTATGCTGTTTTTT